AGAAAGAAAAAAAAAGTTGGAATAAAGTGTCAGAGAGCAAGAAGATGACACTTCAAAACAAGCACACACAGCAATCGTACATCGGGGAAGATGTCCTTCATTGTTTCTTGCAGCTCGGTAGGGTCTGAGGTGGTGTTGTTGTGTGGCGAAGACTCTGTGTGTGTCTGTGTGTGTGCGTCAGAATCAGTGGGCTAATGAAGGGAGCATTATGTCTCTGACGCACTCTCTGGTCCCATAGGGTTGGATGGAGGGAAGAGAGAAGAGAGAAAAGGAGAGGAGGGGTTAGATGAAGTGTTTGTCTCTCTGTGGTCTCCTGGCTGCTGTTATATTGGAAATGAAATGCAAAACCAGCACAGACAAAGGCATAATGCAGGATTTAACCACACATGTTCTTCCAGACAGCTTTAACTGAGGGGTAGAGGTGTGTTGTTGTTGGAAAGAAACACAGAAAGTAAGAGTTGTTTTCCTTTTGAAGGCTCAACACATCACTTGGATTTGATTGTATGAATACATGTGCAGAATTAATCAAACTCCATCAGCTTGAACATTTCTTCAGATTCATTTGGGTCTATATTTTCATCATCATCATCATCAATTTTGTGCAGTTTCAGGAGTGTTGCAGATGACAGCTGAGACAAATTGTTCTGTAATTTACTAAAGGACTGACAGGAAATTAATTTCTCTCCAACCTGATGAAAAATCAAGAGGGGTCCAATTTTCTACTTTATTTCTAACAATTAGAGTTCACTATGTAATATAAAATAACTGCAGCTGTTACTAGGGTCAAGCTTTTAACATCTGTTCAGGCACATGCTATGCCGTTGATGGCTAAAATGCCAAATTCGTATTTCAGCTTTATTCTCTTTCAAACTAAACCATACCAAAGCAAAAGAAAAATTACACCCTAAAATGAGTGCAGAAGGCATGAGGGGTTAGGATTAGTTTTATGCTGTTTTAGCTGAGCAGATTCATATTTATTCGAGGCAAATTTACGGCGATATGCAGCAGATGCAGGCTCACATAGTGCATCCTGATTTACAAAGACATGGCTCTGTGATTGGGCTCCAGTTGGTAAGAAGTAATCTGATTGGCTGAAATCCAAAAAAATAGTTGTCCAAAAGGAAAACACAAGGATAATGGATAATTATCCTTGTGTTTTCCTTTTGATATTTCAAACCCTAATTAATCTTTCTCTCACAGAATATTTGATTGAAACCAGCTATGGAGTTCACTTTGATTTAAGCAAAGTCTGCATTATAAAGATGGTGGGCCAGATTTGGTAAAACTAAAAGGTCTGTTGCTGGTTCAAGCTGATCCTTCCTAGTTTCGCTTTTAAAAACTGGAGCAGAAGTAAGATGGATTAACAGATCCTTGACAAGAAAACAGAGTATTTCTAAATCTGGATGAATGTTGGGCCGGCACAGTGGTATAGTGGTTAGCATTGTCGCCTCACAGCAAGAAGGTCGTGGGTTCGAATCTGAATCAGGGCATTTCTGTGTGAGGTTTGCGTGTTCTCCCTGTGTCTGCGTGGGTTTACTTCGGGTACTCCGGTTTCTTCCCACACCCCGAAAACATGCAGAAGTGGGGTTAGGTCAATTGGCCACTTGTCCAGAGTGCCCCCTGCCTTTGCCCCAAGATGCCTGGATAGGCTCCAGCCCCCCCGCGACCCCCAACGGGAAAAAGTGGTAGAAAATGGATGGATTAATGTTATCCAGGTTTGACTCTTTGAAACTGTGTTGCTTCAATTGGCAAAACTTGACATCATCTTATATACATTCATGTTAATCATTTTATTCTACTTATTTAAGAGACATTTTTGTTACTGTTTAAAAATATCTTTATCTTATACAACGGATTAATGTTTGAGATTGGAGGAAAAAATATTCAGTAGTCAACTTAGGTACTGGAAAATGTGATTAAAAATTTACACTTCTGTTAATAAAGCATGTGATAAATCCATTAATTCCAGAAACAAGCAGATGAGTCACAATGAAAATACACATTTGTTGCGGCCCAGATGGTGAATGTAATTATTCAGATGGTTCCAAGACAGCAGATATGTCGGGGAGGAGCGATAAGATGACTTCTTTCTTTGTCAAATCCAGTGATTATAGGCGTCTCTGATCAAAGATATCAAGAAAAACAAAACCGAAAAAAGATCCTTTGTTTACTTGACGTGATTTGAGGTTCACTCCCAGGACTGTGTGCTCTGTTTGCATTGACTCTCCATACATACTCTTACAAACCACATCCACCCAAACACACACACACACACATACACTGGCCTTTGTTGCCATAGAAACTCTGGTTTCAGGATGATTCCTATCAAGATGGGATCAGTAACACAATGTGCCTCAGAGGTTGCGTCCAGGTGCTTCACACAGACGCACACACATCTTGAAGAAGTCACAGAAAACAACAGTGATAACAACACAAACCTCTTTATTTCATTACATAATTTTCAAGGCCAAATCACAAATAAATAAGGAAGGAGACACTTGCAACAGCCCAGCTTCAAAAGGCTGATCAGTCACACAAAACAAGTAACCCTCCCCTCCCCAAATAAAAGTGGTCAGTAACAAAGATTATTAAATATGTTAACAGGAGACTTTACACCTGTACAATTATTGGTCGTTTAAAATGAAATTTGATCATTAATCCTCTCCCATGTAAAAATATGTACAAAGCAAGTGAAAACAACTGAAGTGGTGAAATTCATTCGCCCACCACAACACTGTCTGTGTCTCGCCGTTGTAACGCACAAACGAATGTAGCAGGACACAGCATGAGTGCTATCAACAAAAAACGCAGGGAGTGCTGCTTCACATTCTTAAGACCTCTGAAGACAGCTCATGTGTGTCGGAAGGCAACTATCCGCCTGTAGACGGGCGGAGGAGAAGCAGCAAACAGCACAGAAAGCGACCGAAGAAGTCCTGCTGAAAATGTCAGCAGAGAAAACGTTATATAACCCAGGAAGGGAGGAATGTCTTCCTGTCTCATTATGACAGCAAAGTTTTACATGCTGAAAGAGAACCTGTCTGCGTTGAGCTGGTAGTGAAGAGTTCCTGACTGTACCTCAATGCTAAAACATCGTAAATGAATGCAAAGCAGGATTTACTTCCCCAGAGGGATGGACAAAAAAAACCCTGGTAAAATACAAAGGCGCCCCTAATGCAAAAGCCATTCAGAGAATATGAACTTTAATCTTAAAACCTACAGCTGTTAATGTAATACAGGGGTTCAAATAAGCGCCCAAGAACTGTAAAACCCTTTTATATACATTGCACATACAGTATCATACACATAAAGCAGTTGAAATAAAGATACAGAAATGTTATCTGAGTTAATGCTATACACTCACAATTAAATAAGGAGATTCTTCAGTTGTTCGACTGGAGTGCAACTTTTTTCTTATTTCTCTTTCAAATATATATTCAAGCTTCTGCTTTGGTACGGTTGCACACTTCTCATCATGCAGTTTCTACAATGCCAGGTATTACATTTTCATTTTACAGTCTTTACATGTTTGAGCACAGTACATTAAGATGGGCTACAGCACAACTTCTCTATCAGTGTCTCTCTACCGTCCTGTTCGTGATTCCTAAACTGAGCATTTCCTGCAGGTCTTCCAATACGCACTGAAAAGCCTAAACATTCATACACATTCATACACTATGGAGGGGCTGCGGTGTGTGCACTTTTTTTTTTCTTCCTATGTACTTAAGTTTAAATTTGTGTATAAATATTGCACATTCATTCATAGCCGTAAGTATAAAAAAGATAAAAGTAACAGTAAGCTAAGACCTATCGCAAAGAAAATAAAATGTACAGCTGCACAAAAAATTAGCTTGAGAGGCTAACTATTCTTCTACAGTAGGCTAACTTCCCTTGGAGACATCCATGTGGTATATTGGTCATGACTGGTTACGTTGCGGGTTGTATGGCGGGGCTACAGTATGTCAGGGGTTTGTTCTCAAGAAGCGGCGAAAAATACAGGATGAACAAAGCAGAGGGTGCGAAGTGTAAAGAGGGTAAAACTCCAAATGGATGCCTTTCTCAATGGATGTTTGCACTTGGCAGGCCGATAGATCGGACTGAGGCTTCATCGAGTCAAGTAAGTACACACACGATCAAAAAAGTACAAACGTTGGGATGCAGACGATACAAAAAAAAAAATCATCTTGTAAACAAAGCTCATTTCAATACAGGTAGCGTAAACAAGTTGGCAATAAAAATCAGGAAGATGAGGAAGTAAAAAAACAAAATTAAAAAAACTAAAAATTAGTTAGAAAAAGTACTTCAAAAATGTCTAGATGCTCAGTCTCTCATGGCTTTGCAACCCTAATTCCTCTTACACAAAATAAACCTATCATCAGATGAATGGGTTTCAAAGCCAAACATGAAGAAAACATTGACACGCAGACACACAAAATAAAGATCCCTGCATAGATTCCTACCTGAATATTACTTAAAGCCTAGCAGGGATCCGCTCTAACCGAGCTCGTGTTACCCAGCATCCTTTGCCACGTGTCTGCGCTTCCTGTCCTTGACGATGCTGAACTGGTGGAAGGCTCCAGAGAGAATAAGAGGGATGAGTAGGGGAGGGGAGATGCAACAGAGAGAGCGATCCACAGACACAGAAGTTTGTCTCACTTTGAGTCGTGGGGGACATCCCACTTCATGTGCCGCTTTGGTCGTCATGGCAACTCAAAGGGCTTAATCCATCAAAGAGAGGATGGTTCGGTTGTCTGTGAGTGACCTTCTGCCCTCCGTCTTTGACAGAGACAAGAGTTTCTACCTCCTCATTTGATCAAATCTGATTGCTGGGAAGTCAAGAGAGGAGGCGGCGGCGTGTGTGAGATTCTGTGTGTGTGTCTGGATTCAAGAGTGTATGTGTTTGTATTACCTGTAACAAAAGGTAGAACTCCTCTCCACATAGTTCTGGTCCTCTATATTGTTTATGTGTATGTGTTTTTGTTGTTTTGGAGCGGATCTCTGTGTTATTTCCCCCCGTACATCCTCTCAATGTCTTCCTGGTAGTGTGTTTTGAGCTCCTTGCGTTTCAGTTTGAAAGCATCAGTCACCAGGCCGGTCTCTGGCGTCCACGGCTCGGAACTCAGACGGATTTTCTTGGGGATCTCGAATCGCTCCAGTTTCGCTGGTTTGCAAAGAGAAGAATCACAAGTCGGAAGGACAGTGTTATTAGGCAGATGCTGTCACACTTGTCTTCGACCAAAACTTGCTCAAATCTTGAAGGCATTTTCCAAGAGTGAACAAACAGACAGAGCTTAAATGAAAAACATAGAAAGGCTTCACTCCCTACCTGATACAGCAGCCTCGGTAATAACGCGCAGGACCTCTTTCTCCACCTGAGGGTTGTTGCAGATCTCTTCCCATGTGCCTTTCACTTGCATCTGCTCGGCCAGCACCATCAGCTGCTTGTGATTAGGCACCACAAAGCTGATCACATATGACTGGTCACTGGAAAAAAAGGATCCAGGAGTCAAGAAATGTAGACACTGCCTGATATAGCGGTGTCAACAGTTGGCCTGCATTTAAAATCAAGCTGAGAATTTATGTCAAAAGTCAAGAAGAACATGTTTCAGCAAAAGTGAACGCAGGATTTTACCTGTTGGCATAGGCACAGATGTTGTCTATGAGCGAGCAGTTTTTCAGAACAGCCTCCACTTTTCCCAGTGAGACATACTCGCCTGCCTGCAGTTTCACCAGGTCCTTCTTACGGTCTGTGAAAAGAGAACACATGTCCAAATCTGAACAGCACTCACTTATTCCCACAGATGGGGACCAACAGAGTATGAATACCTAAAACAAAAGATTGAAAATTCCCTGAAAGGTTTCTGGATACTTGCTTGGAGTTTCTGAGAAAGTCCCCAAACATTTGTGGGTATACTCTGGAAAGTGCCATGAAAAAGTCACTCTAAAAAGTTTCTCACAGAATTTGGAAATCTTCCATTCAACTTTTAGAAGTTTTTCAGGAATTATACCTGGAAGCTCTTCAGGAATCTATGTAATTTTGCAGGAAACTGTCAGGAATCTTCCAGTAAAATGCTGAGAATTGTTTGGTTTAGCTTTAAGATTTAGAAAAACAAAAAAGAAGTATTCTTTATTTGGTATCACAGTGGGCTGTCCCCACTACAAGATCATGAAAAGAACCAATCAGATCTGAAATTGGAAAACCCAACTTTCTTGGCACAAATCACGCACAGAGGCACATTTTCCATCCAACTATTTTTCACATAAGGGCAGAGGTCATTTTCAAAAAATTCTGATATTTTTTCATCTTTGGTTTGAGTATCTTAGGGTCAATAGTCTTACTAATACAACCTGATTTGTTCATTTTGTACTGAAAACAGGAAACAAAAGATGTCCTTCAGAGAGCTGCTTTTAACTGGTTCATTTCAGAACCATTTCTTTACTAAAAGACTTCTGCTCCCACCATGACCTCTCAAAAAAGTACCTGCACTTTCATTTGGCTGAAGAATGAGCATGATTTTGCTATCTTTGCTTGTACCACACACGTGCACTGCTCTGAGGATCATCTCTTACCGATGATCTTGAGGCATCCGTCTGGGTGGAACTCTCCGATGTCTCCGGTGCAGAACCACCGCTGGCCGTTCTCGTCCACAAAGAAGTCGCTGCCATTCTTGCCTTCATTTTTGTAATAACCCATCGTAACATTGGGACCTCCTATCACGATTTCCCCCCGGGGATGGGGTTTGTCTGTGCTGTGGTAACCACCTACAGAAGCACAAACCTCATTAGCAGCGGAAATTGAATGCACTGATTCCTCACTAACAGGGTCCGATTGTTGAGCATTGACTTACCCTCCTCCCAGTCCTTTAGTGTGATCTCTGAGCAAACCAGTGGAGCGCCAACACGCCCTGTGCTGTAGTCCCAAACTGCAAAAAAACAGACAAAAAGAGCAATCTTAGCATTCAGCTCCACTTTATGACTTCCTCTCCTTGTAAAACCCACTCTCTTACCCTCACTGATGGTTCCTGCTCCACAGGTCTCAGTCAGGCCGTAGCCCTGCCCCACAGGACAGCACAGGCAGATGTTCATGAAGCGCTGTGTGGCAGCAGACAGAGGAGCTCCCCCTGAAAGCAGCACCCGTGTGTTTCCTCCCAAGAGTGCACGCACCCGCTTGAACACCACTCTGAGATGGATGAGGAAGAGGAGGAGAAAAATCTCAGCATATTAGGCATGTGTCAAAGTCCGCCATTAATCTTTGTAGAGCGCCAAAGTATTGACAAACTGAGGAATCCTCTGTGCAAACACAGTATCATAATCAATACTAAGCAATGATTATAAACGTTAGAGAAGACATCCTTACACCTTCTGTGGGGACTCTAGTCTGATCATTAGCCGTGTTCTAACAGAGGTTAATGTTTGCTCAGATATCACAGAAGATTTAGACATGAGTACAACATTAGTACACAGCACGCATGTATTACCTGTCGCACAGGGGCGTGCTGTAGCCTTTAGAGATCTGCTCCATCTTGTAGTTGTAAGCCATCACGAAGAGCGTCTTCTGGAGGCGGCTCATCTCCTCCACTCTTGTCATCACATTCTTGTAGATTCGATCCATGATCTCCTACAAAGAGCAGGGGGAGGAAAAATGACCTCTTTTTATTGGCTTTATTGGACTGTAGCGCGGTTTAAAAGATTCTTGAGGGACGGAGGGACTGCGTGATTTATTGACCCGACATTAAAACTGAGACAGAGGAGTGAGAAGGAACAACAGATCAGGAGGATGTCAGCGAATTCACTGAAATATGTCAAATTACAACTTCTTGCAGATGACACAAAGTCTGTACATCGTGTGCTTTTGAACATTCGCACAGCTCTGCTTGAGAGTTTGACATCAACAGGTCCACAAGGATGCTTGTGTATCTGTCACATATGTGTGTGAGCTGCAAAACACATTTCTTACTCTAATAGCAATCAGAAAAAAACAAAAACAAAGGTATTATCGAGTCATTTTTTACAGCATTCTGCATCCCCGGGTAGAGGCCATAAAAATAAAGGTGGACTGGTTTGTGTGGGGATTAAAACACTTACTGGTACAGCAGCCATTAGTGTCGGTTTCAGCACAGTGGTATCTCCTTTACTGCCTTTCTTTATCTTGGTGGACTGTGAAAATGACAAAAATAATTGCACATCTTTAGCCAGCAAATCAGGGAAGAACCCGACCATGCAGAGCTTCATATCTGATCATACAAACATAAAATGAATCCTGAATTTAATTGGGAGGGATGAAATTAGGGGTGTCCTGAAGCAACTTTTTAACTTTTGATATGATACCGATATTTCTCAATACTGACCGATACTGATATTGATCCGATATTGGCACAAAATTGTGCTTGAGAGGTTTTTCACTACTCTGCAATGTCTTTTTCAGACTTAAACAAAAAATTCTGCCATGAGGCCAACATCACTCTTACTCCTTGCTACTTTGTTTGTTTCTTGTTTCGGAGTGCTGATATCGCTGACTTTAAATGCAGGCTGATATAACCAAATATTCTGTTTCTTTTGCTGATATCCAATATCAAAATCGTATCAGGAGACCCCTAGATTAAATAAATATATAAATCAGTGGTTCTCAATCCAGTCCTCGAGCCCTCCCTGTCCTGCATGTTTTGGATGTTTCCCTGCTCCAACACACCTGATTCAAATGATCAGCTCGTTATCAAGCCAGAGCTTGATAACGAGCTGATCATTTGAATCAGGTGTGACAGGGGGGCTCGAGGACTGGAATTGAGAACCACTGATATAAATGATAATTTCATATGTCAGAGTAGTCCTAACTCTTTGCATGATAGGATTACAGTGTGCATTTGTGTGCTTTTTTACACTGACCTGGTCAGCCAGAGTCTGTGGGGAGGAGTAGCCGATGCGACAGCCATGAGAGATACACACCAACTCAGCGCTGAGCTCTAAGACGTGAGCCAGTGGCAGGTAGCCAACGTAGGTGTCTGTTTCACTGTCAGCACCAAAATAACAGCAGGTTAATTTTCCACCATAGACAGAGGAGAAAAGTGGATACGGTTAGGAGGGACATAAATATACAACGGTGTCTTTGTTTCTCAGGCAAGACAAGAAAAGAACAAGAGGAAGTGTCAGATGTGTCAGAGGGAGAATAGATGTTGGCATACTTGAGGTTAGGAATCCGCTCGGCCATGCCGGTGATTCCAGCGATGATGTTGCCGTGAGAGATCATGACACCCTTGGGGATGCCTGTGGAGCCGCTGGTGTACATGATGACAGCGATGTCCGAGGGCTCCGGCTTTTTGCGGCTGACTGCGACTGGAGAGAAAGACGAGAAGATGAGTGATGGTAAGTGAGGAAGTGGAGTTGGTTTTTTTTTCCAATTTGCTTTATTTTGAGCAGCATAGGTTCTTGGATAAACAATATTACTCTATAATTAATTTAATAAAGAGTCCACAAGTCGTTTACAAGTTAAAAATGCTTTTTCAGTCTGACTTTCAGTCGACCTATTGTGAGGTAAAGAGGTGGGACAGGCCTTTAGCTTCCCTAGCAACAGCTTTAGTGTGCCTACCTGTCAGTCAAGCCAGCTACGCCCCTGAAAATGCCAAAACCACAACCTTGGTATCTTCAAAACTAAAAAGTGATAAAGATGTCACCCCCTGTACAGTGTGCTCAGATGAAGAAATGAGCTTATCAGACCATGTTCAGTTTTTAAACCGTGTTGTAAACATGTTTATTTTCGCTGTAAACTAGCTTCTCTCTAATGAGGGTGTCTGTGACTTCAAGTGCTTTAACAGCAAGCTACAAGTGACACATGAGCAGCTGCAGTTTTCAACACTATGAGCTTCATTTCTCAAGACCGGAGCTTGGTCTGCACTTTGCTTCTATTGTTCCACTGCACACAAAGCTCTGCAGAAAGCATCACCCTGGGAGACTGTTAACTCGGGCCTTCAGTATTCATCGGCACAAGGTTTTTCAGGTTTAAAATCAGCGTCTCAGCTTTCTAGCAGATGTATTTCCTTCCTCTTGTTATGACAGATGATTGTACTTACTTTTTGTCTGAACTTTTGGAATTTGTATAAAGCACGAAAAAGAAAAAAATACTTGCTTGATAAAGAGGCTTTACTCACCTTCATAAACTCAGGTGGGTATCTATCAGTTACTAAAAAACCCAACACAATTCTCTATCCTTGTCCCACTCTTAACAATGGATGTCTCGATCTGATATTGATATCATATATCGGTTCGATATCAGCAAAAAAAAAAAGATTATCAGATTATATCGGCCTGCATCTAAAATCTCTGATACAAGCACTTCGTTTTATTCCAAAAAAGATGTTGCAGTTCTCTACAGGTGGTTCTCGTTGCATCAGATCAATATCAGTATTAGCCAATAATGAAGGCAACAATATCGGTATTATAGCGGAAGTTAAAAAAAAAAGTTGTATCGGGACACCCCTACTCTTAACTACCCTTTTCAGATTTGTAGCTTAAATCATTTGGCCTAAAATGTCTCAATCTTTTTTAAACATGTCTCATGTTTTTCTCTATCCAACACCATCACATGGGAGGATTGTCTGGTTTATAAAAAGCAGACCAATGTCGTTGTGATTTCAGGTGTTCTGTGAGTTCAGTCTAATGTGTTTCTGTCATGCTCAGCACATCACTTTAATTACACATCAGGGTGTTGGCTTTGTATTAAGTCTCAATCAGTGCGCCTCCATTTCCTGATCAAATTAGAAAAACCTTTTTAATCACACTGCACAAACACTCACTGTTGTGAGGCTTAGACCCCATCTCTTTCACAGCATCCATGTTGAGCACCACAATGCCTCTGGGAATGTTTGGCCAGCTGGTGGGTCTACTATCAACTACGATGACATAGCGCAGTCTGGGTACGTCACACAGGATGGCCTGAAGAGGGAGAAAAAGAGTTAAAAAGTAATTATGCAAATGGAGCCGAGCTTCTTATCAAGCCTTATTGTTACACCCATTTCAGGAAGAGCAGGTACCTGGAGACGGCCCTGAAGCAGGTCTTTACTTGTGATGATGTGTGTGACCTCGGTCTCGTTCAGACCATGAGCGATGGCCGTGGGTCCAAGAGTGGAATACAGCGTCACCACTACGTGATTAAAACAAAAATAGGTTAATGCAGATCAGTTCATCTCTGGGTCTGGAATCGTCTTGTTATTGTTGCACGGCTTTCTGTCACTCACAGGGGAAGTTGTACATAAAGCAAGCTTGTGCTGCAAGGATCCACTCAGCTCTGGTCTCACAGAAGATGGCTATGTTGCACTGGGGCCTCTGTCCCAAAGCTGCCAGACCACTGCCAAAACACTTTGCTGCCTGGTACGCCTCCTCGTACGTCAACCAGTGATAGTTCCCGAGAATAACCTAAACAAACATGCAAAAGTTTATGAAATAATCAGGATTATATTCACATTTTACACCAATTAACCTGGAACATGAATGCACATACAATCTGTTTTTGTTGAAAAGGCCTTCGAGAAGGCGATGACGCTGTTGCCAGTCAAACATCATCTTTAATATGCAGTCACTTAGCACCATCTACAGGACTATTATGGCAACGCAAGTGCTAATGAGGCAGTTCTCAGCTGTGAGACAAACGGCTGAGGCTCTCTCTCTGCTGCTCCTCCACCCACATCCCTCACACTGTGCACAGCGGCAGACCTCTCACACACACATACACACACACACCATGCACAAGAACACTTCCTGTCATCCTACAGATTCAGTACTCCCTGAAACATGTGATGAGATGTACCACCCACTGTCTTGCATATATCTTTGCCACTGCTGCAAAAACCTTCAAGATATCGAATGCACAGGTAGAAACTAACACGACATATCAAAACCCAATTTCATCGATTGGCATATAAGCGTTTAGCAATAAAAACATGTAGCAGACGTCTATATTGATCATAATTTGTTGCAGACAGATCAAGCTCAAGATAGCTATCAGATATTGCAGACTTGTACTTGTGTTATTTTGTTTCATGATAGGCCAAATGTTTTCAGTGGGTGACAAGTTGGGATCACAGACAGGCCAGTTTAGCACACTGGCTGTTCTTCTATCTAGGGATGCTGTTGTATCATTAACTGCAAAATGCGGTTTGGCTTTCTCTTGCTGGAATACATGAGGTCTTCCTTGAATAAGACATTACCTGGATAGCAGCATATGTTGCTCCCAAACCTGTATATAATTTTCAGCATTAATAATCTGTGTATCCCCTTGTCATGATAGATACTGGATTCAGAACTTTTTCTGATTATAAGCCAGGCGGCCCCTCTCCTCTTTAGCAGTTGCTGACATTTCTGGATCATGTTCATAGTTGTACAACATACACCATTTTTTGTCCTTATTTTTCCATCTCTTTGTGTGGTGGGAACACGGTTGTATCTCTCACCTTCTTGAAGACCTTGCCGTTTGGCTGGATCTCATCCTCCTCACTTAGCACTTCCCTGGTACCCAAACAGTCCCTCTCTGGAAACTTCCCTGCAGCGTATTCAAACATTTTGTCTATGGTGTCCACCCCAGGGTGCAGCCATGCCACCAGCTTCTGCTGGCTGTTGATGGCCCTGTAAGGCCCCGCTGGATACCCACTGATTGAGCGTGCTTTGAGACGGCGAGCCCGCTCAAGGTTAGAGCCGGCTCCAGAGAAGAAGTACCAGGGTATAAAGGTGATGAAGGAGTAGACCCAGACCACAGAGCGGAAGACCTGCAGTAACAGGGGGTTCAAATCCTCTTTTAGCTTCATCTTTGGGGGTGAAGTCAACCAGGAACACTATATCTGCAACCGCTGTCACTGATCTGTTTGACTTGCTGCCTGGGCTGAAGGTCACAGGCGGGGCGGAGGGGTTCTTGTGTGCAGCAAGGGAACCACACCTGCAACAGAGACACAACGTGAAATTTTAGAACTCCAATCTGCATTAGCATATCAGAAAATATTGAGCAGCATCAAATGAGAGTTATCACTTCTTGAGGTACCATTTTGTCATAATAAGCCCAAATGTGAGACCAGCGCAGACGCAAAAAAATCACTCTTTTTCCCGTTTTGACTGCCTCAGCCTGCGGTGCATCTATCGTCATGGGCATTCAGCTGAAGTTGCCATGACAACCTGTGAGCCTCGGGCCAGGCCCACAGCTGATACCACTTCACTAATCAAGGACTGCTCTGACATCTCTGTATCATCGAATCACTTGTAGAGCAATTTGATTAATGATCAAACGCTGAATCTCTAATAAGACCACCGAGGCACTGGTCCCTCTACAATCGAGATGCTATAAACTTTACAGCAGATGCACACACAGAGGCACTGGCTCCTAATTAACAGAGAAACTATCAACTTAAGAGCAGGCCCCTATACAATCAGGGTAAAGCCCTGAGGGAATACTGTTTTACTGTGGATTTCCTCTTATTCCTCAAATCAAAACTTTGGGTTTGATCCTGATCAGTGTGCTTTAACTTTCCTCTCTAGAGTATGAACTTTTCACTATGGAAAATAAGGAACAATTTCCACTTCTACTGCTCCAGCTCTTTTTTTTTTGTGTTTTGTATAAATAAATACTTGAAAAAGGACTGTTTGTTGTATCCCAATCCAATCCAATCCACTTTATTTATACAGCACATTTTAAAAAACATTCAAGTTTACCAAAGTGCTGCACAATAAAATTAAAAGAACAAACACTGCAGAAAACATCAAGATGAAATGAATAAAAGCAAGTAAAAAACATTTAAAATGAAATTAAATAAATGAAATAAAAACACAAAAGCACAAAAGAAATAAAAGTGATAAAAGGACTGTAAATGACATAAAAGGACAGAGATCACACAACTCTCATGATGAGCTAAAAGCCAAGTAATAAAAATGAGTTTTAAGATGCAATTTAAAAGTAGAAAGAGTTGTAGTTGTAGGTGTGCTTCTTGTAATATGTAATATCATAAAGCTACAAGTGTTAATTCTTTGAAATCTCTGAAGAATCTCATCATAATGTACACACCCCAGCAGTAGCCCACATGTCACGGTCCTTTCAAAATCTCTCAGAGGGAATTTTCAAGTTTTACAATAAAATTTTACACAAAATTCAAGTGTGTTTTAAAACTATCTAATGGATGCAGCTCGTTCATCCCAAAGCACCTGTTTTCGGAAGCTGAATAACTCCTTTGTGCCTCCTCACTTCTTTGTAATGCACACCCTCAGGTATGGTAATAATGTCAGCTACAGTGCTACACTCCTTTCTGCTTTCAGTATTTTGGCTCCACAACAAAAACCTTTGATTCAACTCTAACTCCCTGCTATTGCAAGCGTACCCTTTGGGCCACAGTGTAATTGTCAATACAACTGAATAGCTGCTGAGTCAGAGTATGCCGAAAATAGCAGCTGCTACTCCTATTTGCAGGTCAGATGCAGAGGTCCAGAGGTCGTGTAAGGGGGTCAGCGTAACCTGGACAGCTAATGACAACACTTGCTAATGAGGTGGGCTGCTCCTCTTTTAATGCAAACATAACCTACATGGATGATGACACTGAAATACTACTGTGTTTGAGAAAACCTAAGCAAGCCCTTACTCATTTAAACTCGACGTTTTTTCCTCTACTTGGACGGAAAAGGGAGACAGAGAGTGCAGACGTTCGACAGCGTGTTTGTTACATTTGTTATCCAATACAGGTCACCTGCATTGCAGCACTCTCTTATGCTCCAGAAAGGACTGTGATAGCATGACCAGAACAATAAAAACACTGCAGAGGACAATCTGAGTCCCTACAATAGATGTTTGCCCCTCAGTGTGAAATAAATCCAAAGCAGTATTTACAGTATCAGTGAGTATGCAGGTAATCAATCGAACTGCCTCACATGACGAATACACCTGCACTATTATACCATGAAACTGTATATTTAGCTAGCTGTAGTAGATAGAAAAAACAGTTACAACAATGGCAAAGCCTGCTATCGCTATAAAGAACTTAACATTTATGGAAAGCTACGTTACAAAAACCAAATCAGACTTATAGGTAGAGGTTGAACATGTCTCACCTGTTCGGCAGCAAATCATACACCACAGCCAACCGACACAATTCCTCTGTGATAACTCACCAAGAATACACAGACAGTCAAAGTCAGGGGGAGGGTGAAATCAGTCAAATGCTTGTACTACAGGTAAGGTCACTGTCTACTTTACTTTGAATGAAGCGTTTACTTAACTTTGAATGAAGCGGACACACCTACTCCAACCTGATACACAGGTTGGAAAGAGCAACTTGAAAATGCAATCAATGCTTCATTGAGACAATATCAGCATTATTGTCAGGAATATACCTTAAAGTATGACTATGTACCCAGAGTCAACTCAAATAAAACAAACATCAGTAAACCCATGAAGTTCTGATTTATAAAATGACAAGAGTTTAACACTGGAGTTGTCTTATCCAGATAACTGTGTGCATTTTTAACTGGTATCAGTCAGAGTTCCCTCCACTGACTCTAGCTGGAACACAATCTTACTGCTCGCATTTTAACAGGCACCAACGAATACCAACACATCACTGCTGTCCCCGCCAGCTTACACTGGCATCCCATCTGTTATTGTGTTGATTTTAAGATTTTATTGATGACTTTTTAGGTTTTAAATGGACTTGCTCTAGAGTATTTAAGAGACCTCGCGCCCAGTTTGTGCCTAGGGGCTCTTTTTTGGATCAGTCAGGTATTTGGTGGTTGATTTCAATGAGAAGTGCTGCCTTACAGGACTTCAGGGATACAACTGGCCCTGTGAGAATGCTTCTGTTGCTTTATGATGTGAATGGACCATACTTGTTTGTTTTGTATTTTTGAAACTCTGATGATATGCTCGAATCACTGGAATTTAGGGTGACGAGGAAAAAAAAAAGAAAGTAATATTCATTCCATGAAAAAGTGGTGAATTAAATAGGGGAGAGTGGGGTAAGATGAGCCATTTTTCATATTTCAGATCACTACATCAAGGCAACCATAGTTTTGTCTCTAACTAGTGTATCTGCATAAATTAAAAAAAATGTTGTGCATCCCTGCAACTTACCCCGTTGATCATAGGAGCGGGGTAAGTTGAGCCGTATCCCTACTATCCCCCCACTCTCCATCTCAGCCCTCCCTCACCTTTTCTCTCCCTAAATAACAGTCACTTCTTCACATTCATGTATATTTTTATCTATTATACACTATTCAACTGGTACAGTCATACTTTTTATTATTATTGCATATAACTGCTAAAAAGCTGTTTTGTAAAAAGCCATTTTAACATGAGAATGTCTTTAAGTGATTCAGAACATTTACAGCTGTATTTTTGAAAAGAAAAAGTAACACATTTCAACAATCTGAACTGAAACTCTGATCCTCTCATAAGACTCCTTTACTTTCTCAGTTGAGCCACCGGCTCAACTTACCCCATAACTACTGTTATGACTTTATTAGTCCTCTAAGCTAAAATGGTGGACTTTTATGCTAGGTTTTTGACCTTATGTTGTAGCTCATAGATACCACAATTGATGAATAAAACAAATTTAAAATTGATTTTTTCTTGGTCTGAACACAATTCTAATAAAACTTCTATTCTAGAGAGAGATGTTGTTTATTCAATCAAATATACATACAGTACAATTTTAAACAAGAAATCCCCTTTCTTTTGGAGATTGAAAAGGAAAAGTTAGAAGCTATTTAGTTTATTTGTATCTACCCTCATTCCTTCCTATTCGTTAAACCTTTTACAGGTCTTTAGAATTTTAGGATTTCTGAAGTCGCCGAAAAGTAACCAAAGCTCGGAAGTCTAACATGAATATGTGACAAATAATTTATACTGAAACAAAGACCTTATATATACATATATACACCCATACCTATACACGTGTATATACACACAAAAATGCACTTTATATATGTACCTAGAAAACTTCAAATCTCTTATTTGTATACCCGTATACAATACAATAAATGTGGCAAAACATAAATCACTTGTTTGAGTATTTTTTGATCATACTCTGCTTTACTTTACTTCTTAACTTTGCTGTTGTTTTGCTTGACACACTAAATTCACTTTGAAGAGTGAAAAATGTTTTTTTGTAAATAAATGTCTAATCCCTTCACCCACGTGCTTCTAACCTTCACAGACTTCATGAATCTCCTAAATATTTGGTCACATGATCAATTTCTTTTACCATTTCCAAGCAACAGGGGGGTGGCTCAGCTTACCCCACTCTCCCCTACTTGTTTGTTTTGTATTTTTGAAACTCTGATGAAATGCTCGAATCATTGGAATTTAGGCCAACGAGGGAAAAACCGAAAGTAACCCTTCATTTCAGGAAAACGTGGTAAATCAAATATGTACAGCATGTCCGCTTTGGGCTTCCGTAATTTAGCTTCGATTTAACGCTGAATGGCGTAAGATTGTAACAACAGAGTAACCACGTTAAAGTGAGCATCAGGACAACGGGATGAATCACACATTTCACATGATAAATCAAACCCTTTCAATATTTTAATAGTATACTTAATTTAGACATCCTCTACCGCAGTTTGTTATGATCGTAACACTATTAGAGCCAACAGGAAGCTATTGAAGCCTATCCACTGTTTAACTTCACCATATTTGTGTCTTATGTTGTAAAAAGCAGCGAAATAGCATCAACATGAGCAGTTAGCGGACAGCTCAAAGACAAGCTAACTACTAGCATGGATGAGAGCTAGCATTGAGCACTGCAGCTGCTGCTGGCCCCACTGTTCACGTGGAAAAGTCTTTTTAAATACCACACTAATCTAAAAACCAAGAAGAGGCACAGACAGGCTAGTACTGGAAGAAAGTGTGGCATATTAGAAGCGATAAGGCCGCTGTCAGCTAACAATCAGTCTCCTCATCCACATCTGCAGAGGTCTCACAGCCATACATCCTCCTCACCTCTTTTCTTCACCGCCAAAGCCGAGGAGCTGCAGGATCAGATCAGGTACATTTATCCTCGAAACCAACGCTCAGACATCGTATCAAAATCGTCTATCAATAGTGTTTATGTATAAGTTAATAACGATATCAAGTCTTTTAAAAAACGACTATAAAAATTGAGTTATAATGTAAATCTGAGCATCATCGGGACACTGCTACCAGCCCGGAAGTGTTGGATGACGTTGGGATATTTCCCCGTCAGCGATTGGAGAATTGGAGGTGGCGCGTGCTTGGGGCAGCGAGGACGTCAGTGAGGTTACTAGCGGTCACAATTGGAGAGACAATCAGGAAGATATCGATTAAATGTCAAATTTACACATCGGGGGAGAAGGTAACATGGATTTTTTCGTCCTTGTTTTAGCGTGAATTAAGATGCTTCTTTGTTCATCCGTACTCTTGAGCTATATTTAAAAGTAGGATTTAGCGTGTGTTATCTCTGTGGAAAGCTTTGTAGGGGAGAGTGGGGTAAGGTGAACCAATGGGTAAGTTGAGCCACCCCCTGTTGTTAGGAAATGGTAAAAGAAATTGATCATGTGACCAAATATTTAGGAGATGGGCATCAATTCATGGAGTCTGTGAAGGTTAGAAGCACATGGGTGAAGGGGTTAGACATTTATTTACAAAAAATAATAATAATTCACTCTTGAAAGTGAATTTAGTCTGTCATAAGTTTGATTAAAATTGTGTTCAGACCAAAAAAGATCATTTTAAATTTGTTTTATACATCAATTGTGGTATCTATGAGCTACAACATGAGGTCAAACACCTAGCATTAAAGTCCACCATTTTAGCTTAGAGGACTAATAAAGTCATCATAGTAGTTATGGGGTTAGGGTTAGGGTTAGGTTTTTTTTTAGCATGCTATATTTTCAAGACAGTGGTGTTAACACTCATTCTGTTGGTTTGCAGGGATGCACAACATCTTGAAATATATGCAGATACACTAGTTAGAGACACAAATATGATTGCCTTGATGTAGTGATCCGAAATATGAAAAATGGCTCATCTTGCCCCACTCTTCCCTATTTTGCTACATTTATCGTCACATCGGTCACTGAATTAAAATTAAAATCCCTAAAACAAGATTTCCATCAGTTGCATGAGAGCCAGCTGACTGAATTATATCTGTAAAAACGTAAATTTTATCATTTCACTTTGTCTCATTTATCGTCAAAATATGTTCATATCCATTTAATTTAAATTAAGTCTTCCTTCTCTGCTTGTAATAACAAGCCTCTGTGCACAGCCTGACATGACCTGTGCAGGGACCATCTACAAAGTGCAGTTCTGACAAAAATACCCAGAAATTTCACACAGAATAGATGCAGAGTCTAAATCTGTCCACACACTGATGCTGTTGATTATATGAGAAGGATTTTAGTTTGGTGAAATATGTTTAAATAATTTTGGGGGCATATTTTTTGCCCCCACTCCTGATTAAAAGTAAGTACTCAGTATTCAGTACTTTGCTCACATCAAATACAGTTCTGTTTAGTTTGAGAATAACTGCAGAGTACTTAGGATTTATGTTTCAGAAAATCATAATTAATTTCTCCGTGAAGATATTAGTGCTTTCTTACAAAGTATTATAATTAAGGTTAATCTGGAATGATAATCTTTGTAGAAATTATGTGCTGGACCTTTCTATGACCTTATTTCTACTCACTGTTTGTATTTGCATGTGCTGTGTTTTAAATTCTGTACAACTAAATGTCATTCTACCATTTAAAATAAACATTTTGGATAACCAATATAATTTAATGGCCATATTCAAATGGTGAAATAAAAAAAGACCAACATAATCACCCCCTACTTGGCAGTCCTGGTGTAGTGGTGACAACTGCTGCCTCTCAGTGCAAAGACAATGCAAAAAGATTTAGAATTCCTGACTAGAGCTTTCCATGTGAGCTGGGAAAGAAATACTGTCCGTACACTGCAGTTACACTTTGCTCTTGAACTTCAGAAGTTAATGGTGACATGAAAACAACCCACAAAAGAAAGTCAGGCAGTCCTATGGTGTGGTGGATAAGCCTCTGCATCTTGTTTTAAGTGTTCATGTTCCAATTCAACTCATATTTTTCTATTTGAGACATAAAAATAATAATACTGAAGTCTGAATACTGCTTTAGAATAACTTAAATCAAACTGTGAATGAAAAGACTAACAAATACATCTGCTGCCAGGTCTTCCTGTGGTGTAGTTGTAAAACTGCTGATATGACCCGAGAAATAAAGGCTTTCCTCACACAGGACTTGGAGCAGTGCTTTTTATCTACCATAATTAAAGATGCAAGATCTAAATGTATTTCATTTGGTAGAGGAATATTCTTGCTAATGCTACAGCTCACAACCTGGCCACGGTCAGCAAATCTGATAGTCAGGTTACTGAAACCAAATAGTAACTAGACAAGTTACTGTCTTGGTCTGACTAGATTGATTAGACTGTCTCCAGGATTGGAAAATAAACTGCTATAACAAGAAAAAGTTCTGAATTTGTAAAACATAAAAATATATAACACATTGCACAAAATATAGAGCAGCCAGATTGGCTCTTTGCTGTCCCTTTTGTATTTATGTGCGTGATATGAACAAACAATTATCCTGGTTAACTCTGGAGGCTTGACTGAAATCACATGTCCTGTCATTTGTGCAAACTTTTGCATGGAATAACACACCACACTTCCTTTGTGATCTACAAGAATACTTTACTTTTGTCATGGGTATATGACAACGTGAGCAAAAGTGAGAGGATTTGCTGCCCGGAATATAATCCTCACCAACATCAGATACACCAAAAACAGATTTTCTTTCAACATGTTACAGAAACAAATACTGATGAATATCTTTAAGATTTTGTTTTATCAACGTATGAAGGCATGTGTTTGTGAAAACTTTCTTGTGGTTTGTTATTTTATTAATAAATACTGTTTGCTTTCCATTTTAAGGGATACTGCTTACATTTCTAATTGTTTCTGTCCGGTTCCAAATGCATCTTTGTCTCACAGATACAGTGTGTCCATAAAAAGTTGACCTTTTTGTGGGTTTCTGGGGACTTCAGGAACACAAGCCAGCATCTTTTTTGAGCTAAAAGGGAATAGATAATAATCAAAGAGTGGAATAAAAAGATCCACAAAAGCAAGCACTGGTAGTTCCCATGTGGTACAGTAAAGAAACACTGTCCCTGCTCTGTAGCTTCACTGTGCTATTGATCATCCATCATTAGAGAGAGGGTAGACCTATAGAGGAAGCACTTAAATTACTCTTTTGGCTTATTTTGGCCACAAATCAATTAGATTTTTTACAAAAAGAACTAAAAGACTATTGAAAAATAAAGTATGTGAACTTATCTCACAAGGGGCACAAAATTAAAACAAGAAACATTCTTAAAATGCTTTTCCATTCCTTTTTGCATTCTTATTATTTTTCACTAGAGGGAGCTAGTGATCATATGTAAGTAAGGGCTTTGGCTGCTATAAAGTAATGAACAGAGAAAAGAAGTGACCATGTTGTTATTGAAGCCCTCAGGACAGATAAAAATCTCTTTGACTTTAGAGCAACATCATGAGTGTTAAATGGCTCTAAAAAGTCATGCTTGACTCTTTGACCCACAGGATACTGATCTCCTCTCACTGGTCTTTGGTTTTTGCATGCTTATTAGGCCATATGTCTGTATACACATATTCATGGCAAATACATACACACAAATTCACCCCTTTCCCCTTCCATGAACATACACTCTTGGGTCCAAACATTCACACGAGCATGTGATCACATGAGTGCGTGCAGAGTGGCTATAATCGCTCTCCTCAGGCCATGTCTTTGAGGTCATCTTGAAGGGACACAAACCAACACTGGGCAGATGTCATGAGCAGAAGGAAGACTTTCATCTCCTCTGTGAAATGTGTGTGTCCAATGTGATAATGACACAAGGACACTTTGCACACACTTAAAGGCGAGACACAGGAAGAGAGGAAATGTATCCTTGAACTGTCTGTGTGTCAGTGACCCTTCTCTGTCTACGGTGTGCGCAGCAGCTAATGGCAAGTACCACAGGATCCTACAACAACCACATATGAGTTTCATTTGACCTGTTGGATGGGTTTCTTTTAGATTTCATGAAACAAACAAAAAACAAGTACATAAAATTGTGTATGTTTTTATTTGACCTCACTTCAAAATACCACCGTTATCTTCCACTCTTTTAAAGTCAAACAAGTAAGCTTATTCTTAGAGCCTGAGGGCTGATTATGAAACCCCTTTACGTCCAGTTGGACTTATTGGGAAAAGAGGGGTGGGAAAGGGTTGTGTTTGGGATTAAGGAACAAAAGGATCCTTCTCTGTCATCAAAGAGGATCTGCTCCTAACTCAGCCCCTGCTCTGTGGCGACAGCTTTTTATTTTTGGCGGGGAGAGGGAGTGATGGCTGGAGGGAGGAGGGTGGGAGGGGAGGCAAAAGTGCAACAGTTTGATGGTGAAGGGGATGCAGATTTCAAAGTAATCTTTAACTTTAAGCCCTGCAGTCTCTGTGAAACGAAGCCCCCCTGCCCCAGACACAGGGTTGCCTGTGGCTCCTGGTGGAGCCCCTCCCACCCCCCACTTTTTATTTCTCGGGCTTTTGTCACGGTGGCATTTAAGTGGCATTACTCAGGGACAGGACGGCCAAATGAAGGAGTCTCTTTGAGAAAGCGTTGAAGAGTTGGATTTTAACTCCTGAGATCAGTGTTGCCTCTCAAAACTACACTATTGTGAGGGTAAATATACCGTGTTACTGGGATTCAGCAGATACCTAAACTAAATGGAGACATCTTCTCGTAACCCAAACCTGGTAATATTACCTTAATATAAGAGGATAACGGGAGCTCAGAGATGATAGTCCTAACAATTCTGAGAAAGAACACACGGTCATTATTCTACTTTATATAACTAAGTTTTGATGGCTTAGTAAAAAAACACTCAGCCCAATCCATGATTAAAGACCCCTAGGAAGTCATCTTCACTTCCATTGTCTCACTACCTTATAACATTACTTGTTGTGGCCCCTTACCTCAAAGTTATTCCTCTCATCTTGTGAAGGTCTATGTCCCCTGAGGGCCACTGGTCCTGGATTCCCTGCTGGCGTGGCCCTCCACAGGGAGCCAGCATAATCCCACAAAGGTGGATACAGGATAAGCGAGTCATTGTCTCACCTGCCCATATGGAAACAATATTGTAGGATTTTACTAAATAATTGTATAATCTATCTGAAACTTGTAAGTAAATTGCATGGTATTATGCTATGATCCATACTTAATTCTTATAAGTATGCTGTATGAAGAAAATGCAGAAGTGGCCGCTTTCATGAGTAAATCATACTAAGATAAGATAAGAACTTTATTGATCCCCGGAAGGAAATTCAATAGAATGAGCGAGACGTATAAGCCTTACAAGACATACAACATATAAAATGTAAATGTTTAACATGCAGGTGGTAAATAATTTACGTTTTTTTCTATTTATTTTCCATATGGCACAGTAGATCATGTTGTAAGTAATGGTAATGACTTAAATATGAAAGTATACATTGGTCACATCTCAACAGAGTACATACAGTTTACATCAACACATGATTGCATCCGATACACTGGATTACAGATTAACGATCAACCCTGGAGAATATGTGATATGAGGGTACAAATATCAATGCAGAAAATATTTTCACATAAGCAGCAATAATTAAACTGATCTATCACCTGTCTGTCCACACAGACTGGTACACTCTGGCTTTGTCCTAAGCTTTGACATCAGTAGCTGATAAGCAAGAACTTTATTGATTATATATATCATATTGTATATAAAATCAAGGTCAAAGTTCACAAGGTCACTTTAATTGCCATTAGGCCTTGAAACCACATAAAGTCAATCGAACCCATTGTTCTGACCCAATTATAGGGTTACTCTCAGAAAAATAACCTATAATTATTAACCCATTCAAAAAACCCTCAAATTGGGTTACAATAGAGTCCATATGACCCAAGAAATGGGAATGGATCTGAAAAATAACCCAGAAATTTAACTCAACACGTATAACCAGGAATTGGGTTGAAGAAATAACCCAAGAGTTTTTAGTGTGTAAGGCCAAGGAAGCACTTAAATCCGTTTCAATGTTACATTTCAGGCTGAGAGTATACTTTGCATTTGCACAAACATTAACTAGAGCAAGTCCACGTAGAAGACGTATTCAGAGCCAGTCAATGGTCATACCATGCGAGGAGGGAGGGGACTAGTTGACGCTCCAGGCCGGTTCTTCAACATGTACGCCATCCATGTGAGAATCGCCGTGTATAGTGCGAAGGTACCCGCAACAGAAAAACATATGGGGATGAAGATCTCAGAAAAGGAATCTGAATCTTTGACAAATAGGAATCCAAAGACTAAAAACGTTAGCATGACCAGGAAGGAGAGAACAGCACATGCGGAGCCCGTAATCATTGCGCAAAGTCTGCATGACAGACTGCCGTCTTTGCGCCCCTGGTAGGCAGCAGCAGAAGAGATTACCGGGGTTGTCACGATAACATCTGTGTTTGCACTGCCCACAGGCCCGTCGGTGGTGTCTCGGAGGTTGTTAACCGGTACATGAGTTCGGACGCGACACAGTGGGCAGTCGATGCTCCAGCCTCGCCCACCCTGAGCGCAGAGTGTGTCCAGACACTCCTGGCAAAAGGCGTGGGAGCAGTCCAGCACTTTTGGAGTATGTAGATCCAGATCGAAGGAGTTATAGCAGATTTTACACTCGTTTTCTTCGCCTGGGAACGAGCCAGGCATATTAGCGACATATTCATCTCCCCCAGACTCCACCTTTGCCATATTTAGTCCAGAGAAGGTTCAAGAAACTGTGTTGTGGTAGAAGGCTACGAGATCAACAGCGATGATCAGGAGAGTTGCACAGCTTGGGTATTTCCGGGTTAGAAACACCCGGATGTAAATAAAATAATAATATAAATAATAAAAATAAAACATACGTAACAATCCCTCAATATATTTATCTATACACATGATTTCCGATGGTTGTACTTGTGATAATGTGATCACACACTTGAGGTGCAAAAAGTAGGGGAGACTGGGGCTTGTTGTCACACTTTTTAAATTCTTATGTGTTTCTTGGAATCAATACATCATATGTATACAAAATGTTTACCACACAAAAGACCAACGTCTCAGGTATATATTTCGTATTCATGACATTTTCATATCTTGTGTCAGTGCAGAGTTATAAGCAATCGAATAGAGAGTGTGGACATGTGACATGTTGCTCCACCGGGTAAGTTGTCTCACTACATGGGGTAAGTTGTCACAGTGGATTTTGCAGCTAATAAAACAAGGGCAAAATTATTGTTGTTTTCATTTTTTTTTTTTTTACTCAAAAGTGAATAACCTGAAAAGGTCGTTGAACAAACATTAACATAAAATATTATACAACATGCTTTGGAGTTTGGAGAGCTGTCTGACTCTGTATTTCGGCTGGGGTCAATGTTTTGCTGTACGGAGCCAAGGTATGGTAGTTGACATTAAAGTCCTTTATTGTTGTCCAGGATCCCCATTAGCTACTACCTAGGTAGCAGCTACTCTTCCTGGGGTCCACTAAAAGATATTAAACATTTGTACACATTAAAATGATAAAAGTCCAAACAGGAGAATTATACAAGATGTTAAAATCATAACTAACACAAGAATTATGATGACATTACATATACAATCACAACAAACACCAACAAAGTCCAAATTAAATATACAAGTAATCAAAATCATCTACCTGATTGCCCTCAGCATCACGTCAGGTACTGCACTGCCATGTTCTGTTTTTCTTTTGTAAATCCTGACCATGTTTTCTTGCTCTCTCCTCTACTTTTTAAACATGCGACAACTAACCCCAAAATGACTGAGACATAATGCCCCAAACTACCGTGTTTGCTAATTTTGGCTTTAACTTAAAGTTAGCTTAAAACAGAACAATGACTGAGGTATGACAGGATGCCTTCATCTGTCCTCTAGTTCACTAAAAAGATTCGTTCACCAAATCACTGAATCATTCAGCGCTTGACGGGAGAAGCCTGTGACTCTGACCTCCTGAACGATTCAGGATTCAGTTCAATTCATAGCTTCTGGGACTGGGAGACGAGAGTTGTTTGGCTGTGTTGCTTTGGCAAACAGGTTTGTAAAAATGAACTTGTTTTTAAGTCATGATGTTTTAAGTAAACTGTCCTATGGTATGCTATTTATCAGGTCTGCTCAGTAAGTTGGGGTAAGTGAGTGATTCGCTCACTGAACGATTAGAAGACTTCACTCTGAACATGCACTGTTCCTCACAAACCGCTGCAAAGATAGGATGCTGCAGGTTTAATGCACTACTTGTTACATGTTGTGTCCTATTGTATGCAAGTTGGCAATTTAGCAGTAAAAAAGGTAGTTTTGTCCAACAAAAATGATTCCAGAGAGTGTAGTTCAATGCACGATTCGTTCACCAAGTGATTCAGGCGTCGGTGAATGTGGTCCCTCATTTGCCGGCTGCTGGCCTGGCAATGCTGTTTCTCACTTCAGCTCAACTGAATGAACCACTGAGAAAGTGATTCGGTTCACTTAGTACGTTCAGTACGTTCACTTAAAAGATTCGGTTCTTTTGAACAAATTGTTCGCGAAAGGACACAACACTACTGTCCTCTAACAAGTCCACATGTATCACTGCTAGGATTTTTATCTGGAAGAAGCTTGTTTTAAAATATATAAAGTTTTTTTTTTTTACTTTGGTTTGTGCAAGAAAGAAAACTAGTCTTCCACTTTTTAGTTGCGCCCTCTGGTGGCAAAGATAATTGCAGTGTCACAACTTACCCATGTGACAACAAGCCCCGGTCTCCCCTAGTGCAGGGAAAACCTGGCAGTTTTACGATCATAGTTTTAGCGCTTAATTCCGCGGAAATAAATCGAGGGGGCAGACCAAATTCGTTTCCAGACTCAGTATGTGTCATCTTGCCAGTTTTGTCTCAAGCGTGGGCAAGTGTACAGGGTGAATGTGGTCGACCTATTTAAGCGTATAATTGGAATTTAGCGCCTGCAGTGACAGTGGAGTGTATCGTGTTTTCAGCACCACAGGCAGTGGACAGCGCCACGCAGCAGTGACACCTTCAACAGCAGATCAGCACCTCAGTGTGTGTTTGTTTTCATGGAAACACACATTCTCAGTCGATCACAGCTGTTCATTCATTCATTTATTTATATATTTTGCAGAAGAGCAAAAACTTCGTTACCATGTTTCTACATTTATTAAAAGACGACTCATGGCTCTCTATCTAATCTTGAGAGCCAGTGAGAACATGTTTTAATCGAGACACAACAGAAAACACAGATGTTTGGATCTGCATTACATTGCTTTTAAGCCAAATATAAAACGGATTTTTGCCTCTAGAGACCACACTTTTCTCGGCTGTCAAAGTATGGCTTGCCTGTAATATAGCTGTGTATGGCACTGTCACATATAGATAACCCCTGAGACATATTCGTAAATTTTGAGGTTTGGATTAAACTTTGTTTGCCTTATAATATACATTGATTCGAATAATAATAATTGATTTAATAATAATAAAAACAACCCAACAACTGTAAGTTTTTAAAACAAACAATTCATTGGATGTAGAATCTGACTCGACTACTTGACAACAATAATATTTGATTGCTATTAAAACTAAAAAAAAGAAAAATTCACACACAAATGGAGGAAATGAGTGGTATCAGACAGACTTCATGTGGTATGATATATTGTATAGGATGTCCTCATAAAATTAGAGAACATGCGCCCCCTTGCGACGAAATCTCGGCACTGTGATAGTAAATAAAATTTAAGATTGCTGCTTGATAAAGTCAAGCACAATTCATGACATTTTTTAAATTGTACTAAGTTAAAATATATGAATGTGTAGATTTTCTAAATAGTCTGTCTGGGTTAAAAGATGTGGTGGGAAGTGGAATAACACAGTGTGTTTATCACATAGTTAATGATGACAATTGTCATACTGTAGGAATCTGTACACTTATTAAGCTAAAAAAAAATAGGAATGATTAGCTTTCATAATGAGTACAAATCCAGGTTGAAATTGTATTTGAATGAATAGGAATTAATATAATGGGATATGTTGACTGACAATATTTTAACCTTGTTCCAAAAATTTGTTATCAATATTTATTGCTGCTGTCCATTCATTTAAGATATTTATGTTAATATTTATAATTATATGCATTTTGCTATTATCATACTCGTTATAAAAAAGTGTGCTTCAATACAGTAAACTGCAAACATTTCAGCCCTGGTTCTGCATATCCAGTCAGCTTATTTGCATTTATGTTGTAACAAATGGTGTCATTTTTTCACACAGTAATACCATTTCTTTCAGCCTTGCATACTCCCATACTCAGAATGGATTATTTACCATATGGAAAATCTTGCATTCGTGAATTTACATCACAGCTTTTCTCTATTTTTCTTTCACAATGCATCTAATTTTCTTTGCAGAAAGACAACGTTAGTATTAGACAACATGCGTTTCAATCACACACTCACTTCCTCATTTGTTTACACACATACGCTGAGGTAAAGGTCTGTTGTATTGTAGTTCCGTGAATAATCTTGCAGCAGGTAAAGTCGCAGCACGTTCATCACTGGAGCGTCAACTCTCTGCTTCCTCTTTTCAGGCCTTGTTTGCTGAAGTCTGGAGGTAACCCTGCATACCCACAGGCTGTATGCTTAACAAATGCTTCTCTTCTCTTCTCTTTTCCTCCTGCTCATCTGGGTGCACCTTTGGGCTCTTTGTTATGATAACCTCTCTAGGTTTGAGCTCCCACTGAGTGTTGTGGTTCACATGTATTTGATAAGATCACACACATCAGAAAAAAACCCCAAAACAATACAAAACACAGGCCTTCTTTTAGAAGCAGCTTGTAACAGTCACATCACAAGATAATGAATCACAGAGTAAATTTCCTTATTCTGCAAATACAATGTTGCTGAGATGCTTATCTAAACGTTTGCCTGACCTTTCTTTTTGCTCCTTTTTCCTCACTCCACACTGTGCCCTCTTAACCTTCTTTGTGATGCAAAGCTCTTTTGAATTGCTGTCAATAAACTACAGTGGGCTACTGAAGAGGAAACATCAAACATAGATGATGATATATCTCATTAAAAAAGAAAACAGTCTTATTACATGCTCCTTTAAGTTTAAATACATAAAGAGCTAAATGCAGGGAAGTTTCCATGAATCACTCAGAAAACAGCTCAAGAACCTTTGCTTCATTTAGGAATTTTGTTTTCGCCGCTTGTGGCTAAGAAACAGCACACTATTTCCAAATCAGTGTTTACAATATATCAGAGAAAGAACTGGCAGCAGTGATTGAACTCTGCTCAGAGCCTTCAACTATAATTAGTGGCTGACTGGAGAATAGAAACTGATATTGTGGCACATCTCACTGAAATCTCTCCACTGCTTTGGCGCAATTCTTTACAGACTAATGAAGGTTATAAGAACATGCTGTTTTCCAGAAGACTGTTGGTTTAGCACAGTAAAACCACTGTAATCTTTATGCTTAATACAAAACAGGAGAAATATCGTCAAGACTATACCCCTCTGCTAAAACAGAACTATGTTTTTTTCCTGCTACAGTGTCATATTCTGTTGTATTAGAAAGAATGCATGACACTATTTTAATTTTGAGTTCAGGCTTGTTAGTTCAGCAGTTTACTTGCTTTAGCTTCTGCACAGACATCCATTTATATTTGATCTGATGGTGCTTATTGTTGATCATGAGCTTTTCTCACCGGTCTATACATGAGTGATGCATTTATGTAGCATATAAAAGGCCTTAATGCCTAACATGCATATTCATCTCTTTTCCAAACTTTATCTCAAGAGAACGGAAAGCAAACAGCTCTTTCTTTTTGTTTCAAATGATTGCCTAAGAAGCTTATTCCCTGTGTAAGCCCAACACTGAGTCTTTTTTGGGGAGGGGGCATTTTGTTCTTTATTTTTGATGCATTTTGTCCACTAGCTCCACCACCACCACCACCAGCAGCAGCACAGCACATTTCTGACTCGGCTTACCCCACTAATTGATTTGACATGCTAGATCCAATATCCTTTTCATGATAGTCAACTTTACTATGATAACTTTCTTTCCCCCCTCCATTCCTTCTTTTATGGACGTATAATGTTTCCACATGTTCTGTGTCGAAGTTTTGTTCAGCATGAGGTCTTATAGGAGGAATAAAAATTAATTTGGTCACATGCTGTGGGATACAGCCATGAAAACGAGAGAAAAATGACACTTTTGTGCAATAAGGTTGGAATGTATCACACTGAATACTACAAAAAATATATATATATGACTTTTTCCAAGTCTCACAAATGATGTGTAACAAAAGTAGCAACTGTTAAACGTACATTTTCATATTTCATACATTTCCCTGTTCATTTTTCATAAGTTTGTGACAGCAGACTGCTCTTTATAGTTGTCTTTTGCCAACAAATCAACAAGTAGAGTAGCATACTGATGAATATGATTCACAGCCTGATGTTTTTGGTATTTTTCTATAATGACTTGCCCATCATTCATAAAAAGCAGGTTGTGTTAAGATTTCTTAACATAATTTGTCCTCTTCCGTTGAGGAAAGTAAAGTTGTACTGCTCTATTAAACACGCCCAATTATCGTAATTATCACAAGTCTACAAGCGTCACACAAGTCAAGTGATCCCTCATGTGCTTCTATGTGTTCATAATCGAGCATTAGCACGGCTGTGTTACACTGCCGTGTGGCTGCACCACGTGTCCGTGCAGCAGCAGCTATTGTTAAATTCGTGCAACTGGTAGATGAAGGTGCAGAGCTATTCCGCGGTTCTGATGGGTGAAACACATGGGTGAAAAAGTGGGAGACCTCTCACATGAACGCTGCACTTGTCCCCACAGTTTCAACAGGAGCGAAAATTTGCGGTAGCCCGTATTATACACTTTATGATAATGATATTTTAGGATGTTTCTGCTTTAGGATAATGAATAACTTCAGTAGACTAATTTTGATTTGCAACGTTTTTACTGCCTTAAATTTGATTTATATATATTTTTATTTATAAACTTTGCATAATACTATCTTGTATTTCTTTCTAACATTCATGGGGACTTTTAACAAAGATCCACAGCTCACACTAAACAGTGACCTTAAACACCCAGTTATAGCAAGAGTGCATCCACTTACTCTTATTTTTAATTGATGCACTTAAGACTGATATCTTATTATCACCATATGTGATCCTATAACAAGGGACTTGCTGTTTTCCTTTTTAAATGCTATGTTCATTGGGTATTATTTCAAACAAATACTACTACCACCCCCACCACTACTACTACTACTTCTACTACTACTACAAGAAATAAAAAAAATAAAAAATGTTATTATTAAAATAATAATAATAATAATAATAATAATAATAATAATAATAATAATAATAATAATAATAATAATAATTATTATTATTATTATTATTATTATTATTATTATTATTATTATTGTTGTTTTTTGTTATTATTTATTTTTTGATAATAATAATAATAACAATAATAATAATATTGAAAATACTTAGTATAATAATAATAATAATAATAATAATAATAATAATAATAATAATAATAATTATTATTATTATTATTATTATTATTATTATTATTATTATTATTATTATTATTATCATTATTCTTGTTATTATCATTATTCTTATTATATATTTTATCTGAATCAATCACGTTTTAAAATATTTAAAATCTCTAAAACAGAACAATAACTCAATCCGCATATCAACAATGAACACTGAATTTTCTCCCACTTGCAGCAGCCGGTCTACACTTTAACTGTGTGCTTATTATGATCACCTGGAAGGCATCACGTAGTTCTAATGGAGCTTATTTTTAGTATGACATGAATATACAACAGGTAGGCTACTCTGTATTTCATTTTCTGCCGTGTAGCTTACATTAAAATATCAACATACGGATTTAAGGTGAAAAAAAAATGCGATTTCTAGGCTTTTAGACATCTTCTTTGGACATTTTAGGGCCTCAAATTAGCTCGTCAGTTTGTGTTTTGTATGTGTACTATCATACCTTATATTAATTTGCAGACCACATTATGTACACTGATCATTTTTATACCGTAATATACTGAGTTTTTCAATTAGAGGCCCAAACCAACTTGAATTTGCAATGAAGAGGAACAATAGCAGCCAGACCAAACTTAAATGTGCTTGTAGTTAGATAAGAGTTATCCTCAAAAGTTTTTACACTCGATAAAAACTTTCATTGCGCTGTAGCAGAAGCTTATGACACGGCGAGCTGACCTCTTGAGGTCAACTCAGCCATAAGCAAGCCCGCACTGTCCAATCACAAAGCTCCTCTCGCCCCTGAACGTCCGGGTCTCTGACCAATCAGAGAGCCTAGCGCGGACTCAGAGGGGGACAGCGAGTACAGATAAAATGTTTGACTTCCATCAAGTCTCCCAAAACATCCTCTCAGTCCTCACAGGAATGTCATCGACCTGCACTTTGATTTCAACTCTCATCTCAGCTCAGTCTCACCTCTGGATACACCTCAACAACAACAACTAACAACGAATAACTCCTCTGAGGAGTCAACCTGTTAGCCTAACTCGAAGAAACGCAGAGACAGCGTGGCGAGATCTCCCAACAATCAACAGTTATTTCGTGGGATTACAAGGGACAAGAAAGAGGGGCAGCTGTGTTGGGAACTCTTACCTGACAGAGGGTCAGGGATCATGACAGCGTTAGCAGGAGGTTTACCGAGAATGATGAGACCGACTCCTCACCAGAACTATCCCCGGGGAGGATACTCTCTGGAAGGTAGGACACACACACACACACTCTCTCTCTCTCTCTCCCTCTCTTTTACACTCACACACACCAGTTGCTGCTGGAAAGTCGAATAAAAACTTTTACACAATGCAGAAAAAGTGACTTAAAACTTTAAATTACGCATCAGCCTATTATGCCTACTGACAAGTTTATTCTTATTTTAGATTTTATTAAAGGAAAAAGAAGAAGAAAATCACATCCTGCGTTCAGTTTACATTTCTATATTTAATGTTTTTATTTTATTGTGAACATAATTTTGTTCATTTCATATCCAATAACATTTAAGAGGCCCGTATTACTTCATAACTTGATAACTTTGAACAGGTTTTTACTATTTATGGTTTATTTGCAAGAATACCAATATCATTATGATTGGAGGGACCATTTGGATAATAATCTGGTTTTCTAGTTTCGTTATTAAAACAATTGTATTGATTTTTACAGAATCATAAACTTCAATTGGATAATAATAAGTAATATCTATTTGAACTCTTAGGATCTTTGTGAACCCAGAAAATATCCAGACTTTTTCCTACAGTATTTGAAATGCAAAGTCTATTAAAATACAAGAACAAAAAAAAAATCAAAATTTCTGTCATCCACTTTGGCTCTACACTAACTGATATGTCCCACGCACTGCTGCTTGCCCAGTGTCCACTCCGTTAGGACAGGGTCGTGTCAACCAGCTCGGTGGAGTCTTCATAAACGGCAGACCTCTTCCCAACCACATCCGACATAAAATCGTGGAGATGGCCCATCACGGTGTCCGTCCGTGCGTTATCTCCCGCCAGCTGCGAGTGTCCCACGGCTGCGTGTCCAAAATCCTCTGTCGGTACCAGGAGACAGGCTCCATCAGGCCGGGGGCTATCGGAGGAAGCAAGCCAAAGGTGAGAGAAAAAGTGACATTAGATGTTTCATAAAAAAACAAAAAAATGGGATTCAGCAAAAGAGTGAAGATACGAGATTAAATTTGTGAAGATTTATTTTTAACTCACAGAAAATGAAACTTTCAAGGATGGAGAAACATCACTTTAATTTTGGCTGATTGTTCTACAAGTTTGTGATCCTTAAGCTTTGAGACATTTGTGAAAAAATATTTTGGAAATTAACATCTTTAACTTTAACCTGTCCTCTGTGTCGTCTTTTATCTATGCAACAATTTGTTTAGGAGGCCGAGAAATCATAAACTGACTCTTCTCCTTTCTCTTTTCCCTCCTCTCACCAAAGCAAACTTCTTCTCCAGAGGTGGACAAGAAAATCGAAGAGTACAAGAGAGAGAACCCGGGCATGTTCAGCTGGGAGATCAGGGACAAATTATTGAAAGATGGAATCTGCGACAGGAACAACGTGCCCTCAGGTGGGTAGAACTTTCTGGGCCTTTTTAATGAAGCCTAAATACTAACAACAGTTTAATCAAAAACACACATTTGGCACAAGGTGATATACATTTTTAAATTAGTAAACTTTATTTGGTTGTGCCATCTATATACTTTTCTATGATTGTGATTTAAGGACACAAACAAGACATCTCGTGTATTTTTCTGTTACTTCTGTTCATCAAAATGAATTAAAAATATGTTTCTTCTGTCTTTTTTATACAAAGTGAGCGCCATCAGTCGCATCATGCGCTCTAAATTCGGCGGACTTGGTGATGATGAAGAAGATGATGAGGAGGTGGTGAAGAGGGAGATAGAGGAGAGCGAGCCACGGACGAAACACAGCATCGATGGCATTCTGGGAGACAGATGTAAGTCAATATTTTATAAAAACACACTCACACAAAAAAGTTGCTTTTAAAAAATTGCTGCTCAAAATAAGTGACAAGAATGATGGTTGAAAAACTAAATTTTACAACAATTATGATAATAAAAATAATGATAACTCCTACGATTACGCGTTCCTTTAAACGATACAAACGCAAATAAATCATTTCAACACTTCTTTTTTATAGGCTTCTACTGACAGCATAGTTAAAGAAATGTAAGCCTCGTGTATAAAGCGCATGCGTAAAGGCTTCTGCCGTTTAACAAGTCCGCAGTGATTTTTTATAATATGGATAAGCAAACATTTGTCTACCTTCCAAGCCTGAGAAACTTTGTTTTTACGCACAATCGGACACTTGAGGATGAACTTCAGCGGACAAAGCAGGGAGAGTCCATTGAAAATCACACCTCAGTTTGAGGAGCACAAAAGCTAAACTCCAGTTATAGCGGCTCAGTGGTGTACAAAAAGACGCCAGCGCCTTTCAAAACGGGCAAAGAAAGGGAAAAGAAAAAGTGCGCTGACAAAAGGCCGAGAGAAGACATTGTGAACCCGCAATGAGCGATGAATTATTCAGGGACACCAATGGGCCCAGAGCGACCTGGTTTATAGACTACTCAAAAAAGTGTCAAAAATTGGTTTATTTTTCTCCCCCATGCGTTTACAGTTGATCATTCAGATAACGCCACGGTTAAAAAGCACATTTTTATGCAAACACCTGTTGATTTACGACCTGTTGGGTTGTGAGGGGAGAAGAAAAGTAGAGGGTTGCTGTTGGAGACATACAGCACTCTGGAGTTAATAATTGACTTCTACAAAGAGTTGGAGTGTTTCGGAAATGTCATACGCGTAGATTTATTCCTTTCATTTGAAGTTGAAGTAGTTTGGTTTGGTTTTGATTTTACAACTCCCTCGTTGGATACATGTTTTTAAAAAAAATCTAGTTAACGCGTTTAAATGCTCAGGAAAGGCGTATGAATTTTTTTGCCCAAGTGTGTAAAAAATCACGTCAAGCCTTGCGTAATCGAATAGAACGGTGCCGTTACTTTTACGCACGGAGCTTTTGTGGACAGTCTTTGCGCATGCGAGCGTGACGCCTCCAGCCAGTGAACGCAGGCAAACCCTTCTCTCTCCCCTTCTTCTCTTCACTAGATTAAATCCAAACCTTTTCTTTCGCTCCACTTTCATCTCAGACAAAAGTCCGCCCCTTTCCTCTCCGCCCAGGGCGCACACATGAATGCGATATCTGCGGGCACTTCCCTCTCCTTCTCCTAGGCCCAGACACAGATTTCAAGAGTATTTCTGCAAAATAATGATTACAAAATTATGACTAAACTGCATTACGGATAAATTTGTTGGAGTCAGTCTGGTTGATAAATAAATTAGTGTAAAACATCACTTCTTGAGTGAATCAAATTTCTACTTTTACTACTGGCTTTAAACTTTTACATTCTGTTTAAAAACAACATAATGAACATTTCTCTGGATGAAACTCTCAGGAAACATTCAAGAGTATAAGAAGACAACTCCTGTGACATCTTGACTTTGTGCACCTTGATGATAGTATAATATTATTTAAGCAAACAAATAACATTAGTTTTTCTTTAACATCAAATAGGTGACATCCTATATGCAAACAGCTCTGAGGGAACTTTCCCCCATTGATATACAGGACGCCACTATTTCATTCTTGTGTCTCTTTGTGGAAGTAGTTGTTGTTTTTCTCTTTTATAGCTCTTCATTAGAATGTGAAAGGGCTGCTTCAGGGACTGAGAGAGTGTCTTCTGGCCAAATATTGATTAAGTAGGTGTTTGCAGAGGCTATTGTTGCGCTGGAGAGAGGCCTGTTGCTCTCTGCCCCTTTCTCCTCTACCACTATTGTTGGCTTTCCTTAAGTGCTGAGATCAAAGCTGACTCATTTAGATTTATTTGTCTGGGAAAAGGAACTGCTAAGGTTTGTGGGATAAAGTAAACTGGGCAGCCTCAGGTCTGCATGGCATTAGCAAGTGGCTGGAGAATTGTGGGAAAGAGATGTTTGCGAGGGATAAATCTGATGCTACGTTGTTTGCATCCCCTTTCATCGTTGAGTTGTGGTGTTGAATAGGGTGCAAAATTTAGATAGCATACATAAACAAGCTGCTTTCATGTGCGTTATCACATTTGTCCAAAAAGGAGAGACAATCCAACACAACCAACCCGTACAAATTACTCTTAATTGTAAAAGCGGTGCAAAAATTATGTTTTTGCCAAAAAGTGGCTGTGAAATAATTGATTGCATCCTTCTCCGTCTTTATTAATGTTAGCTCTTTAGCCTCATTTAACTAATTAAAGTAACCAAAGTCATAAAAGACGAGCAGCCACTCTTGCAGGATTCATTTATGGCAGTGGGGGTGAGGAGGGAAAAAAAGACGGAGGAGAAAAAGAAAAGCTCAGAAATACAAACAGTCAAAGGGATAACTTTTCTTTAAAGGGAGTCCTGCAGTGCCAAATTGAATGAGGCCAGTTCTTTCAAATGTGCCATGGTGAACGCAGTCAACATGTAATAATTGGTCTCATTGAGGTGCATTCCAACAATCTGCTGCCATTCTCCTGCCTCCATTGTCTGCAGGCAGGCAAATAGCCAGGGGGACAGGAGGAATCAAGTGCTGACAAAACATAAAAGATTTAGCTGCTTTTGTCAGAGGAGCTGAGTGGGACTTTGTTTGTGTAAATAAAGTGGGTTACTGGCTCCCTGTGACTTTGGCATGAGGGAAATTTAAGGAGCGAAGAGGGCGGACGGATCAAAACTTTGAAGCGCCCCTAAAATAAGGGAACAAACTTTTTTTTTTTTTTTTTTTTTTTTGCTCAAAAGTTACTGAAGGAAAGCAAACGACCACAAACAACCATCTGATCCAATTTGAAAGTTCAAGACCCATATCCTCTGGAGAAATTTAAGAACACAAACTCTTACTTCCCTCTCTCTCGTGGCAGAAGAAACTGATCAGCATGTCAATGACCCATAACTGTACACTCAGAGAAGTAGATGTTGAATTTTTCTGTCTTTTTTTTTTTTTGCATTTCCACAGAGAGTGAGTTAAATATTGGAGGTTTAATATTGTTGAGTATTGAGGGTTTAAAGGAAACCAAAACAAGAGACAGAAGGTCTCAATGTGCAACTCGAGGAATGTCTGCTGTAGCCACATTTCCATTTTTCTCTCAGGGCTGGATAATGGCAAATTTATAAGTGGGCCTCACTCCGCGTTAGCCTCTGTTAATGGTGTTTATAATGCTAGTTTAACATGGTGAGGGAAAGTGGACTAAAGTTGAGGATATTTTTGCTGTAGAGCAGCGTAGATAGATAGTTAAATATAAAAGTAAATAGACTTTTCTCAACACTTTTATGTTCCATGCCGGCCGGTTTCTAAAGTCTCCCTCATCCTCAAAAAAAGAAAGAAAAAATCCACACTGGCTGATCTGCAACTGAATACCGACTCTATGCTTCATTAAAGCCTCTTTCTCTGTTGGCACCCGCATTGTGATCCCCCAATATTAATTCAAAGGACAATTAATGAATGCAGGCCAACTTTGAAGTAATAGTCCAGGGTCCTGCCCCGAGCCGGCCCCTCTCCGCTGATGTACTCTCCACATTCTCACTGCTAACCCCAGAGACACAGTGAAGTGAGTGAAAGAGAGGCAGCAAGCAATGGAAGGTCAAGGAGAGGAGCCCCGGCAGAAAAAGAACTCTCTATTTCCTTGGAAGTATTAGCCAAGCAAAACTCTGTGATGGGGAGGATAAAGGAGTGAGGAGAGAAAAGGGTCGGGGGTGAGGGGGCTCTGCAAAGAGGAGCACAATGGGATAGTTAATTGAGTAAAGCCAGACAGCGTTGTCAATCACTTAACTTTGTGTAGCCTCACTTTTTGTGGAGCTGTTTCGTCCGGCACATTGCACATTATGGACATGCCAGCACTACTCTGTTGCTGTTTTGATTAATGTCTTTTTCCTCTCGCTGAAATGAAAGTGTACCTAAAAAAAAAGGACAAAAACGCGCTCAGAGGTAAATCTACATTTTTCTAAAACTTGTAAACTGGTTTTTAAAGGGTGTTAAAATGGGGTTAAAAAAAAAAACTCCTGTTGGAATGTGATGATGGTTTCTCTCTCTGTTTGAGTGCCTGTGAAGTTTTGTTGCAGGGTTTGCGGTGTGCCCGTTATTCTCGCTGCAGTGCTATGCAGTAGCTGTGAAAAGGTCAGGGGGGCTAACCTGGGGTCAGTTGACTGTTAAAACTATCAGGCCCCGGGAAGAAGAGGTTACAATAATGTTTAGGGAAAGATGACAAATGACTGACTCTAATATCTCACCAGGGAGTCCAAAAAAAAACCCTGTTATTTAAAGAGAGAGTGTGCTGGTCACTCTGATTGGTATAGCCCAGCTTAAATATTTTTCTCCTGAAGTGGATCTCTGCTTGTTGCTCTCCATTTGACTGGAACGTGCAGCAGACCGGCCTGTTGCTTCGTCCCAGCGTGGGCTCATTGCCGTTGCTTTGTCCTTGCCCCGAGGGTGGAAATGCCACCGTGAAACTGTCACCTTACCGCACCCCGGTGGAACTAAATAATAACCACTGCACACTGGGCACCCATAATAGCCATGAAGGGCCATTTGTGCTTTTTTGTCACTCCACCAATATTAGACAGAGATACATCTTTCAAAGTCATATTGCCGGCCATTTCTTTGTCCGTTAAGTGCCAACCTCCTGCGCTTATTCACTCCAACTTTTCCATCCATCCTGTCATTGGCTCCCTCTCTTTTTCTCTCTCTCTCTTACTCTTTCTGCCCCCCTTTTTTCCCAGGCAGCTGCTGGTTCCTGGGGGCTCTTTAGCAAGTCAAGTGAGCAACCCACTCACTCCCATTTTTTCCCTTAACTGTTAACCCCAGCTGAGCCCATAAGCTGTCAGTTAACCATTCTTTTCCCCCAGTGCATCTGCTCGCTCTGGCTCTCTGTGGCGTGGCACTATTTTATTCAGTGGCCCCGGTTCACACTATGCACCATGGCCTGAAAGGGCCCAGATCTACTTCCCTGGGCAAATAACTAGTTCATTTGTCTCTTCTGCCCTTTGTTTTCTGTTGCGAACACATGTCACCAGCTCAATTACTTTCTCTATTAACAGCCCCTGGAGGAAGGGCTAGCCAACCCCTTGCGAGACCAGGCTATAAACTGCCCCATATGCTGCACTTCTCTTCCTCTTTTTCACCGAGGCTCTCCATCCTTTCCCCCTTTTCTCTCTTTTTCTCTCTGTCCTCCTTTCTTATTATCTCTTTTCTCTTTTTGACTCATTTACTTTTTGTCCTTTGAGCGTTTTCAAACTGTGTGAACGGATTTTTACGTCTACTCATACATGAACATGTGTGCCTGTGCGTGTCTCTTCATATTAACATCTCTGGTACGAACGGGAGGGGGGGGATGAATGCTGCGCAGAGGCAATCCCTGGCTGATGCGGACTGAGCGGTAAACAAGAGCGGTCTTTATTCTTGCAGTTGGAGTCCTCTCTGGGTATTTCTGGCCTGCAAGAGGCACTAAGGCTGCAGGTGAAGCTAATGCAACTGGACGTCCCACAGGTTCACATCTGTGACCTGCTGGGGTTTATCTTCTCTGCCTGTCAGTCTCCTCTCTTGATCGATACAGGGTTCAGTTTATCTTGTCAGCAGAGATTTGAGCATGTGTGTTAAAAGTGTGTGTGTGTGCACAAATATACTAGTTTTTCTATTTGGTAATCATTAGGAACCTGTTGAATCCACATGTTGAATATCCCACTCCTTTAAACGGTGCTTAATATCACCCTTCAAACTACTTCAAATAAATCATGTCCACTGTCTAAACTACTTTGTAATGAGTTTATTAACCTACAACTCTCTTTGTTTTGAGACCTCTGTATCAGAGATGAATCTGCAGCAGCCTCAATTTCCGCTTGAGGGATAATAATCTATCTTTATATTGAGACTCTTGTTGCAGCGGCGGCCAAACAGCAAGCGGTTATGGAGCATTTTCAGCTCCCTGGTGCTTTAGCTGCAGCGTAAAATTTGATTTGGGTGTTTAAGTTAGGAGGTCGAGGCCTTCCTTTGTGGGTTTAAGTATCCTCTTCTGCTGTTTGTTGCTGGGAATGTGTGGGAACGACGTCCTCTGAGGCCGCTTCTGCATTGGCGAGCCCTAAAATCAATCCATAGCGGTTGCGTTGAGCCTTTTTTAGAAATGTCAAAGATTTGGATGCAGCAACGCGTGAATGGAAGAGTTGTAAGGGACAGGTCCTTTTTTTTTTTAAAGAATGACCAGCACCCCCTCACACCCCTTCCCCAGCATCTTCCTCTTCAGGTGCCTTCAGCCTCCCATCTCTCCATGTCAGCCTCTTCAACCCCCCAACCCTCTCCCCTAGCTCTGTGCCCCTCAGGCCATGGAAGGAGGGGATGAAGGGGTGCTCCCCTGCTGTGCCCCTCCACAGCCCCCAATGGTCCTTCTCTGGACCCCTTTTGTGCCCCCTCCCCATCCCCTTCCTCCCACCCTTCATTCCCCCACTCAGCCCCTGGCCCTACAGCCTCCCCTCCTCCAGCCCCCGCCTACTCCCCTGCTGGGCAGGTGACAGGCCCCTGAATGCGGGCCCGGGCGTCCCTGATGGCTCCTACAGATGGAGCGTGGTAATCGGCCCAATAGAGCCCTGCCACAGGCTTTTCCCTGCACCAATACAAAAGCTCGGCCACATCACTTCCAAAAAAAAAAAAAGAAAACAAAACAAAAAAAAAAAACGGAGAAGACCAAGACAGAGAAGAGCGAGAGAGGAAGAGAGCAAAAGAGAAAACGTGAGCCAGAGGATGACAAAAGCAGCACTGTCATGTGCCATTAAAGGAGAGTCTGTGACGGAGTGTTTTCTCTGTTGTAACTAATAATAAAAACAGGGAGGGAGAAAAAAAAGAAGAGGGACAGGGGCAGAAATAAAGGAGCAGAAAGAGGAGAGTCCCACCCCCACCCTGCAGTTAACATGAGTTACAGTGCCAATGAGGAGCTTTTCCACAGAGGACTTTTATGAGCTCTTCTCCCTCCCTTAGGAATCTGTTTGGTTTCTGCGCTGTCATTGGTGCTTTCTCTTTTTTACTCTTCCTCTCTTTGAATTTGTTACTTTTACTTTTTTTGTTTCTCATCCCTAAAATACTGAGAATTTAGAAATTGTCAGTAAAATAGGAATCAAGTTGTGTTTTGTTCTTTTCTTCTCATCTACCGTTTTACAAAATTACCTCAAATTTATCTCAGGTCCTAACTTTTAACAAAACAGACCAGAAACTCATCGTGCTGTGATCGAGGAGTTTACAAGAATCCAGCCAATCCTCTATGCCAGCACGGTGCCCTTGGTTCAAATGTAATAAAGAGCTCTTCTCGACATCAGAGTCTAGTGTGACTGCGGTCCTCCAGCACACAGGCATTCCCAGGGAGCAAATCCGTGTGTAATGCCTGGTCAGACACACACTGGCAACCAGCGCAAACATTTCCTGCTTGGCTCCAGAGGCTCCAGAGGCGAAGGGAGATCCCTGCTTACCCCCCCCTCTTCCATGTCTGACTTGGCACTTTTTTAATTAAAGCTTTAAATCTGGAGGGCAGAGTAAGCGGTCTGGGGGAAAACAGACGAAGGCCTTCTGCTGCTTACACCTGTCTCTGCTGCTTATTTCTTCTCTCTGTGTTTAGAAGTTGGGAGTACGTATCGTCTGAGTGTGGAAAAGGTGCAGTGAACCCTCCTCATGAGCTTTAAGAGGTCTCTCTGGGGTTGGATTTGGGAGTGGATTCCGACTCTTTCTGTCTTGTGTCCATCTGCGTTTGGACACATTGTCATGGACCGCGTTCATTGAGTGAAAGCGCATTGCCGAGATGTAGCAGATGCATGTTTTTGAGTGTGTGTGTGTATGACTGAGAAAAAGATGGGAGGGATTGGAGACGTATATCGGGCGCACAATAGCAGGCTGTCACGCTAGCTTGTGGAGCCTAATCATTATTTAATAGATGGGTAACCTCCCCCCCAAAATCTAGCAATAGTCCTCTGTCTCTGGTCTCCAGCCTGCATTGATTCCCTTCTTCTGCTGAATTAGATCCCAATAGCTGTCTCCCAGTTACCCACTCGCTCTCTCCTGCCCTCAACTGAACAAACAGATTAAGAAGCACCTGCAAAAAAAAAGCACCAAGGGACCCTATCGGTATAACGCACAGCATGGCTAAGACCAAGAGAGACACAGTGTCCCAGGGAATAGATGCCCTGGAGGGATCTAGTCCTCTTTAATCCATGTTCAAGCAGCTTCTGGCGTTTGATCCCCTTAGGAACCACTGAGGAGTTTAAGGAAAGCAGGAGGGGACACAATTTAAAGTTGCTCAGTACCATGTGTCGTACTCAGCAAAATCTATTGTCTCAGATGTGTCTATTGTATCCCAGTCTTTTCAGTTTCATTCTGTATTAGCTTATTGAGTGGTGGAGTAATACATTCCACGATTTTTCAATTCCAGCGAGTCATTCGGATGAGGGCTCGGATGTGGACTCAGAGCCAGGCCTGCCTCTGAAGAGGAAGCAGCGCCGCAGCCGCACCACCTTCACCGCAGAGCAGCTGGAGGAGCTGGAGCGAGCCTTCGAGCGCACACACTACCCCGACATCTACACACGAGAGGAGCTGGCTCAGCGGGCCAAGCTGACAGAGGCTCGAGTTCAGGTTGGGAACACAAAACACAGACACACTCCTTTGCCTCATTATAAAAGCCCTGTAGAGCACAGAAATATGTCCGCCTGTCATGGCTGTATGTCATGTGGGTATTAAGTTGCCTGGGGATGATGCCACGCATTCCTTAGAGCCATGAGACTTTGTCATGTCTGACCCCTTTCCCCACATAAACACAGACACACTGCACCCTCTGTGTTTGGGGACCGGCTCCTATTTTTGTCTTTTTGTCAGTCTCTGCTAAAAGGAGCAGACCTCTAAAAATATTCCTGGTGTAGATAGCGTTCTAATCTAGGCTTTTACAGCTGTACCAGCCTTCTGGCGTTACCCCCTAAACCCAGTAACTCGCAGTAGCACACGGAGATGTAATGTGTACAGTTTCACTCCAGATGTTCAGATCTATATCAGTTCAGCTGCCTGTAATGGTTCGGGGAGGCCTCTCACATGTACACAAACGACCATATTGAGTCATCTTATTCTTACACGCTTGTTTCTTTTTTTACTTAAGGTATGGTTCAGCAACAGAAGAGCAAGGTGGAGGAAGCAAGCGGGAGCCAGTCAACTGATGGCGTTTAACCACCTCATCCCCGGTGGTTTTCCACCCTCGGCCATGTCAGGCCTGCAGACCTACCAGCTCTCTGACAGCCCCTACACTCCTACTTCCATTGCTCAAGGTAGGATCATCTGGAAATGTGTTAAGAAGAGGTGGAGCAAGATGCTGAAACCAGGGCAGAGACTTTTGTAGAGGTAGCATTGAGTATATGTGCAATTAACTACTTAAACTAATACTATTCAAGTACTATTCATGTTATATATAGATTTCTTTCAACAGTTTTTAAAATGGGCTTCCATATCTTTAAAAAATCCCCCAGTATTGTCATTTAGTGTAGGTCAATGTCTAAGTGGAATATTCTCAAATTCTCCTAATATTATTCCTCCATTGCAGGGCTGTTCTTAGAGAATTTAATATTCATTTTATATTTAACAAGAAACACATTTAACAAGACGCAACAGCTTAGTCAGAGTAAGCCATAAAACAAAGTATTCAAAAAACTTAAAATAATACAAACTGCACAAACAGTGCATGACACAAAAAAACATTTCAAATTATATAACATTCTCTTTATCACTGTAATGTATAAAGGACATTTAAAGACTCTTGAGGTTTTATATCCAGATTCACAATTTAAAGGACTAACAAAAATGCTAGTAGGACAAAAGTAGCTAGCAGTAACAAAGCGAAAATATTTTATTTTGATGCCTTTGATGAGGCAAATATCCTACCATTGTAAAGGATTTTCAGTTAGTAAATCAGATCATAGAGGGGGGCATGGCCACCACTGATCTACTCCTGATGTTTAAATGTTCTTACAAAATTAAACAAAACTTGTACGATTTGACATCAAAATGAGATTTTAAGTCGTATGTTTTGTCCTCAACAGCATCTGAGCAGCCCAGCACAGTCCACCGACCGCAGCCTCTGCCCCCCACCTCCGTGCACCAAACTGGGCTCAGCTCCTCAGCTGGTTCCCAAGATGGAAGCTCTGCCTACTGCCTCTCCTCTGGACGTCATGGTTTCTCAGGATACTCGGACAGCTTTGTCGCCCCGACAGGACACACCAACGCTGTCAACCCCGCCATCGGCAACAGCCTCTCACCACAGGTTTGACACCACCTCCATTTTCCAAAGATTGATGAATTTATTTTTGAAAAGCTAAAATTAAAAGCAAAAGCGCTCTCCTAATACTCCCCATGAAACAGACCTGAACCATACTTTATCTTATTTATAGAGCCCATTGAGAGGAAAGACTTCTTTTGAATAGGCAGAACCAGGCTACTAGGTGTGCAGCCATCTGCCAAAACTGGAAATAAAAGAGCGGTATCTCTAAAACACAAAGACTCTATGCACATGTACAATATGTGTCTGTACCAAAATAGATATGTACGATCTGTCACAAACAACACACATGCTATTTGAACACATGCTATCATACCTGCAAACAGGACCCAGTTTGACATTCATGGCACATTTGAAATGCACCATATGGAGTGATAAAGATACACACAAACACACACTCCTAGAAGGTATCATTGCGGTGACATTGACGAAAACCTTGTTAGGCTGAGAAATACGGTAGCTTTTCATTTTTGTTTATTCTGATGGGTCGTTTGATGAATTTAAAATGTGGCAGACATCAGTCTCCGGGGAGTGGAAAAGGGACCGGACATGAGGACGGATGTATGAATGTCTCATGATGACACAAATCAAAACTGAAAAGACAATTATGGTCGATTACACAGTCATCAGTGTCCATCAGTGGCTCCCCATCGGCCAAGAAGATGGACTAACAGGCGGAAAACGAGCTTTTAACCGCCACAAAGGGTGGCAGGCCCACGTGCAATGCATGCTGGGTACTAATTCCCATGAGAGGAAAGTCTCAGGCTCCTGTCAGGCACAGATAAAAAAATGCCTTGGGCAGATTTGTAACTGTTTGGATGCCTGAGGATGTAAATATATTAAAAAGGAGATTTTTGTTGTGGCTGCTGGGGCGCATGGTCAGTCAGTGGTAGGTAGCGTTGCTGTCGCTTGAGGTAAAATTCATTTCTTTGAAATGTGAGGTTGAGATTCAGGCAGGAGAAACTGTCTGATCTACCTCACAGGTAAACTTATTTATTTCCATAAAACAATTAAAGTTGAAAAGAGAGAATGACGCATTAGTCATACTCCAAGCGTATGTCCTTCATTGTTTCATTGCGAGCCAAATGTGCGGATGCTGAATTATCTACAGTATGTCAGAGTCTCGACTGTAGCATGACCGGTGTGCAGACCTCTCCTCCTGTAATGGTGCACATGTCTGCAGTGTGCGTTCACACACCCACAGGGTCACTGACTGACTTTACCTCCAATAAAGAGGCCAAAGGTGCCGTGGCCTCGTGCATGGTTTCAGCATTAACCTCGCCGGGCCTCTCCGTACTGAACGGACATCTCATCTTGCGCAGGGACGGCGTGCCTGGAATGTTTTCTCAGTCTGGAATTGCAATCAGAGAATGTTCCAGTGTGTTAATTGATTGGAATGAAGTAATCGACTCCCTCGTAACTAAGTGTGTAATATATGCAAATGACTCACTTTGTTGACTAATTTGTTTTAATTCATGTATTCATTGCAGCAGTTAAAATGTTTATTGAGACACCGTTTTCTCTTTTTCAGATGGGGACAGAATTAATTTTCTAATTTTAACTTCACTGAGAGGGAGGAAATGAGAATTGATTAAATTCTTTGACATTGATGGTTAATACATGAAGACCTCTCTGCACTTAGGAAACTTTACAGCTTCAATTTCCTCCCATAGCTACATAGCTGGGTCTGTTTTGCGCTAAATCCTCCCTGGAATTATCTGGCTATCTGAACTCAAGATCGCTCTATAAAAGCTACGATATCTACTACTCTGTATCCAGCAGGAGATTCAGAGGTTCAGTCAGCTCCAGATATGGTCACATTAGAGCGCCACGGAGTTTGGATATGGATAAAGTTTACTTTAGATAGGTGATATTCTTGTCTGGGCAGTTAGCTCTGTATTTGTAGCTTCAATCAGGCTGGTGGTTTTCCTGTGGTGAGGGATCTGTGGCGTCTCACTGCTGATATGGTGCATACCAGAGGAACCCTTTTCTCACCAAGGAAGCGAGCGGTTGGGATTTGCACCCCCCCCGAGACCTAATCCCCGGAACAACCTCAAAACAGACACCGTTGAGAACTGCTGCCGCTTCGACAGCAGACAGGGAGGGCAGAGAACCTAAACTACAGGAGTTAACAAGGAAAATATATTTTTAGCAAGCAACCTGTGAACCTTAAATTTTCACCAATGACTTTCCACATTTAAAACTGATTTTAGAAGCATTTAGGTTTGAATACATGTTTTTATAGAGATTTGAAAAGGAAAAAAAAACAAACATATTAGGCATGTATTTGCGGGTGAAAATGTACTCATCATTAACGTAATTACAAACTTTGTGTCATATAGACTTGTATATCTAACAGAATAGATCACATCCTTAGCAGTTAGATGTTTCAGTGGTAGACCGCAGTGATGTGTTTGACAGATGTGTGCGGTGAGATCTCCTGACAGAGCCTCTGTAAATTACACACATTAAAGACACCTGAGGTCGCTTCGCTCTCAGTCGGAAAATCACTTGTATTTACATCCCACAGCATTATTTCTTATTCCTGCTTTTTCTTTTCTTTGAACGATTATTGTCTGTGTTTTGAGTTTTTCGCTGAAATTCACTTTATTGCATGGACTGTATATCTTGTCCTGTCTTCAACCTCACTTTTCGACATGTTCACGACTCTGCTTCTCACGCAAACCTGCGTGCAGCTGTTCACGATGTATTACCGATACCCCTTCAACCCCCTGACATCAGAGTAAAAAATGCTTATATTACACACAACTGCACACACACCTACTGTTAAATACCCCCCGTCCACACATAGTGGTAGCTCACACACACACATACACGCAGACACACACATACATAAACACACCCTGCTCCTCGTTCCCACGTACCCTTTGGCCTCTTCACCCTGGCCTCACAAGGACACGGTGATTTTAGAGCTTCAAGAGAAAGTCAGAAAGGGAAAAGGAGACTGTATTGTTCTAAAGGGACCTAATATAACTCAAGACACAAACGTATATGTATATGTATGTGAGTTCTTTAACACAACGCTTAATATTTGTCCCTTTTTTAAAATAAGCCAAAGTCTGCCTTTGCCACGTTTTTCTTTTTTGCATCCTGTTACGGACAAAAAAAAAGTTAATAGAAAAAGTATGTCCATAAATTTAATAGGATAAGTGTATCAGACCACACTGGTTAGCCAAAGGATTGAGCTCTTTAACCAGCTCCTCCATCAGTCGAGCAGAGTAAAGGGGAACCACATGTGTGAGGGAAGACAGTGATAAGTATATCTGGCAAGAAACAAGGAGAGAGACGACATCACAGCCCACCCGAGTGGGGAAAAAAAACAAAAACATATTGGTATGGCGTGACTTTAAATTTGGCATTAAGTGGCTTTGTTTGTAAAATCTGCCCTCTTTACTAATTTGACACTTTTGAGGTAGTAGACAAAGTCTTTACGAGTGGTTAATGTTTCCTCTCTGTGTGTCCCCTCAGGTAATGGGCCTGTTGAACCCCGGTGGAGTCCCACATCAGTCCCAGAGTGACTTTGCCCTCTCCCCTCTAACTGGAGGTCTGGAACCTAACGGTGGCATGGCTGCCAGTTGCCACGGTTCCCAGCGTCTAGAGGCTCTACCCGGCCTGACCAGTATGCCAACCCTTCCCAGCACCCAGTCTTATTGCCCACCTTCCTACACTACCCCAGCCTACGCCGTGGACCACCACCCAACCTACCAGTATGGACAGTACAGTCAGAGCAAGGTATGCTTAAAATAAGAAATATTTCTGTGGTTTGAATTGTTTTTTCACTTTCTATCAAGAACAATTGGAAGAACTATGGATTCTTAGGAAGAAGGATATCTCTCGATAAGGATATCGAGTTTATCTTATGAAAAAAGACTTTGAATTTAACTAGCCAATACCTGATTTAGATAAGATAAAATCAGAAGAACCTTATTTATCCCCAAGAGAAAGTTGGATGATGAGGAGCTGAACCGCTCTTTTGGTTTATTTTCTCAAACTAAGGTAATTGCACATTCCCCTCTGATGAGCGTGCCTCTCAGATCACCCTGCGTGGTGCTGAAATTACACGAAGTCCCAGAGCTCTAGTGGCCAGGTTCCCTCAGTTTACATTACCATCATCACGCTGTCCGCGTGTCCTGATGCAGAGGCCTGTCCGTGTCTTATTCCACGCACATATTTTCGCTCACTGTCCCCTCACAACCCCGTATGATGAGCTCGCCTGTCCGACCCACGGTGTAGCTCGCTCAGCCATGTAATGACCCCGGTGTAACAGAGATAGCTGCTCAAATGAAAGGAAAAAGCCACTTCCCAAAGCGTGTTTGACAGCAGGGAGGGGGGGACCATAGGTCGTGGTGGTGTGTTGTTGGGGCTGATCGAAGGTACACTTCCACATGTTGACTGGCCCATCAGTGGCAACATCTTGATGTCATTAATTTAGTCTGTCCTGGAAGAGACCCGCATGTAGCTTTTGGGGGTTTTGGTGAATTGTGTGTGTGTGTCTGTGAGCATATGTGTGTGTGTTTTGAAGGGGGGGTAAGGGGCTCTTTAACAGGGGGCGATTATGGCCCTTGGCAGGCTGGGATTAGAACCATGTGTCCCACTGGAGGTCAGATTTAGAGTTGTTATTGATCAGCGGAGCACAGCCAGAGATCCAGGCGGAGGCTCCGTCGACCAAACACATGAAGTTCAAAGAAAATCTGAGGAGATTCCCAAAGTTCTTCACCTGTTTCTTAAGGTTTTATTATTTAACCTAGGACCCCAGTTTCCATTCTCACCTGCTCTCATCTGCTCTTAAAACACCTCCTCTTTCTGTCACCTCTTATTTAACCTGTATAAAATGCACAGACTCTCTTTAACCCCCCTCTCTCTATCCTTGCTTTCTTCAGGTGCCTTTCATTATATGAAACCCCCAACACAGCCTGAACAGGAGGCTTCCCGGCCTGTCTGACATTCATTGCTAGAGAACAACCCCCTCTTAGTCGCTGCCTTTGCCAAACCTCTCCAGCCCTGAGGACAGCAAAAGAGAGAGAAGTTGACTGGCCGGTTGAAGGAGTTGAGGTTTTTCCTCTAGCAGGAGAAGCAGAGGAGATGGAGGTGTACGTCGTGGTGGCAAAGGAGGGGGGTTGACTGGAATAATTGGGACCAAAGGCAGCAGCCTCTCCTGTTACCTGGCAATCTTTACTTTGCTTGTGCGTCAGTTCATGCTCAGAGGACCAAGCACGGTTCATTGTTCACGCTTCAGGAGGAAAAGAAGAGGGGTGGGCAGTAAATACATTCAAGGTTCTGCATTTGTTTCTTGTAATGAGTGGAAGAGACTCAAGTCGGGTCGGACTTTATGAGACCCCTCTGGTGCTTCTTCTCATCACAGTGTCTTAAAATAAATTTACTGTGCATTGACGTGACTTTGTTGATGAATAAGCGACTACAACAGGACAAACACACGAACAAAGGCGGAGTGGAGTCACGGTAAAACCACTGCAACCCAAAGAAAGTGCAATACATTCATACCTCATGTGACGTGAGTTGACGACAAGGATCAAACACCCCTGACAAAACCCTCAAAGTTATGCTCTCTGTTTTTTTTAATCTCATTCATTTTTAGGTTGTATGCATTGCTGAATCAGGGGAAATCATCAAGATAAAAAAAAAAAATAGTAAAGGTAGCTGTGATGTCATTAAGCCAAAAAAAAAATCTCTACCAGTGCATACATGGTTCATTTTGACTGTTATTTTCTGTTTGTTTGCATGTACTGTATTAAATTAGTTTTCAGCCGGAACTTGCAAAATCGGTTCCATTTCTTATTTATTTAGTGTTCAGTTGTATGTCTCTTCCCTGCCCTAGTAAGTCTTACAAAATGTTCAAAATACATGTCTTTTTTTTGTATAATTTTTCATTTACATTGCATAAAAGGATTTTGTTGTAATAAGTTTTGTGTACAATACAGCACTATTTACTATTTATAATAAACTGTGTAAAAATCCAGAAAACTGCAGTTTGAGTGAGGTGTCATCCATGGGATATCAGGGCTGAAGCGGTATTTAAAAGAGTCTTTTCTTTTATTAATTTTTATTTTTAAATAAAGAAAGCATATTCCAACAATTTTACACTGCTTATCCTAAACTATTAATTGTTATTAATTAACTTATTGATACGTACATGTATAGATAAATACAGACACATACACAGAAAAGCATTCATACGCACACATTCATGAAAAAAGCACAGTACAACATTTCTGTAGCGAACATGAAACCTGGTTTCAACATGTCATGAAGTAGCTTATAGTCATGGGAATTGTCTAAATTGTTTGATTAAAACAATTCTGATTGCAAAATATCTCCTGCGACTCAGCGAGGAGAATATTCAGTGATGACAAAATGTTTTAAAGTTTTAGTCAGCCTACATTAAACCAGGTCTGCTCACATCATAATATTTAATTTAATAATCTCTTATATATAACCCTGTAACCTTTAACTGATTCTGCATTTTAACCTAATAATGTTGTTTTACTGTGTGGAAAAGGCCTTTACACATCAGCTGATAACACTTCAGTTCTTGTAATAAGCATGTGATAAGTCACCTATAACATCTTATAAGATGCTCATAAACATTGATGTGTTTACAAATGTTATCAAACACATTTATTATTACCTGTAATACACCCATAGGCTCTAATTAGAAAATTGTCAACACTTAACATACCTGTCATACACTCCAAAAGGATGTTTATTAACATTAACTAGACTTTATCAGGATTAATAAAGATAAATAAACATATTATTAGCTTGTAACACACTTGTTGAGTGCTTATAACCAAGTTCATTACATACAACTTTTGAAACTTAATAAGATCTTTGTCAACATTTATATAACTCTGTGAACCTTTATTGGTACTATTAACATTTATTACTGCTTTTAAGCCCCCTAAAACACACAGTGGAATTTGTAAATAATTTAAAGATCACTCAATTATTGTAGTTGCGGTTTAAAAAATAAATGAATAAATAAAACATAAATAAGACAATAAAAAGTTATGTATAAAAAACGTAAATAAGACAATAAAAAGTTATGTATTTAAAAAATAAATAAGAAAAAAAAAGTTATTTATTAAAAAACATAACAAACACAATAAAAAGGGTATGTATTAAAAACATAAATAAGACAATAAAAAGTTATACATTCAACAAAAAACATAAATAAGACAATATAAAGGTTATATATTAAAAAAAAAAAACATAAGTAAGACAATAAAAAGTTATGGTTAATGCCTTGTTTGGTTTTATAAATCTTTTATTATGCACCTATTATCAGCTAACAATGGCTCTAAGACAGGTTTATAAACTTACGGAAAGTTTCTAATTAGGGCCTTGAAGTTTATAATAAGCCCAAAAAATATGTTAATTATGCTGTTATTTACATTAATTAACATTTATAAATGTTAATAAGCACCTTCTAAGGTCTTATAAATGGCTTATTAACTTTTTAAAAAATTGCTTATTACCAGGACCTTCACATAAAGTGTTAGACATCCCTTAATTTTTTTAGGATTTTGATGAAACACACAAATAAATAATAAAAGAAGTAGTCAGATCTTTTCACTGAAGATAGTGAGGGATGCGTTTTGGATTACCAGACCTCAGTTTTGTATCCGGTCTTGTAATTTACTTAGTCAGTTACACTTTACATGGATTTTTCTTTGTTCTTTTTTTTGTTTTTATTTCCAGACATGCCAGCTGTTTCCCCCTTTCTATCGAAACCCAGATGAGAAGAAGACTCACAATGCCTACCCTCTGTGAGTTGCGTGGCTCATACATGCTCCTGGAGTACTAAATTTTAAATATATCCCCTTTCATAAACAGTCCTTTTGGACAAATTCCTGCTCCCTGGGGGCTCCTTCACACCCCCTTAATGACTAAAGCAGAGCTGCTGTAAATTATATAAGCACGGCGGCCTGCAGTCACACCAGGACATCAGTCACTGACATGGCTGTGGAGCGTTCAGAAGGGTTTGTGCCCCTGTGGCCCAACAGAAAGGAAAACACTGTTCAACCAGTTGGCAGACGCCTCAAAAGGTTACAGATATTACCGGTGTATTTTTTATCGCTCCCTTTCGTCTTCTTCTTCTGTTCTTTTAAGGGTTTAGTGATCAGGTATGCAGCTGCCCATGCCAGTCATGGTGTCTGTAAAAGTGAGGGTTTGTTTCTGTTTTTTAACTTGTTTTAAATATATTTTTTGGGGCATTTGTTTTATTTTAAAATGTTTGTATCTTTATGCTGTGTATCTGAGATTAAGGCAAGATCACATTTTATAATTTTTTTTGCTCTTGACAAATCTCTTCTTTTTCTTCTTTTTTATTTTTTTTACAAGCGTTCAACTTGTAAGACACAATGAGCGAAAAAGCCAAAGGGGTTGCTTTGGAGTGGAGTGTCAGTCAAGCAGCAACACACTGGAGACAACTTAACCTCTGACCCCAACACTCTTTGAAATGGGTAGACTACTTGACCGGAGCTGACAACAACCCGAGCGTCTCTGCAGCTTCCAAGAGCATAAATTGAATGTGGAAAAAGAAGCACAAAGAGGACAGGGTTGAACAAGAAAATTCTCAGATCGGAAAAAGAGTGAAAAGACATCTTGAGAAAATTCATTTAATCAGTGTCCCTAAAGTGATATTAGTATGTGACTAATTTTTTCTCATCTAAATAAAAAACTCTTCTTCAGAAGTCATTTCTGGGGTCATAGAGTTGTGCTTTTATGAAACTTGTATTCAATAGTAATGAGCACGCTTTATCTCTGGAACACCACCTTATCAAGCCTGCTGAAGAGTGGGTGGATGACTCACAGCATGCCTTTCCAAAAGTAGCGAGTGCCCACCTCTCACACTCTCCTTGTCTTTTCTCTGTGTCATACTCTCAGGATTTTCTACCTCTATTTTTCTATTATGACACACATGAACCAGACCTTCCTGCTTCTGTCCAGATGCCGTCAGCTCCTTGAAGACGCTGCTGTTGACATGGATAGACCACAAATCAACGAGACGTTTTCAAACATCACAGAGAACCCTCTGTCCAGAACAAATACAACGTCCAGCATCCCCTCTTCAAGAGGGAGCGACAACAATGCCTACTTTTACATCCTGTTTGTCATGGTCTTTTACTCTGTCCTCGCCATGGCACTTTTCAAGTGTCTGGGCAGTGACGAGGACGAGAAAAAGGACCCCTATGAGGAGTTCATGAGTACCGGGAAGCCGTCGACGCAGAAATTCAACGCAGACCACATGGAGGAGAAGTTTGACTTTGAAGAGGAGAGCAGCCTGTGAGGCTTTCTGAGGAGAAGGAGGGAGGGTTTGAACAAACGGGAGGATGTTTTGACAGTCACCAATCCAGGAAAACGTCAGCGCAGGTACTCAGGAAAGACCTGCTAGTGATTTTGCAAAACCTGTAGAAAGTTCATTTTTTCCCCTTTTATCCTTTTCCATCTGACAATCAGAAACCTTAGGCAGGCAGGCAGGCAGGCAGGCAGGGAGAGTGGAGGAGCTGCATGCCTCTGATGATCTGAGAGAGGGGTGGAAACACAGAGAAGTGTGGGTCAATGGCAGGCCGGAATCTCCTCCTGTGAGGCCCAATCAGGATCAATAACACCGGGGCCTTGGACATGCACACACACCGCAGGGAAGCAGGGATACCTCAGCAGAATGATGGTGTGGTCAACATGGACACTGTGTGAGTGAGTGAGTGAGTGAGTGAGTGTGTGTGTGTGTGAGAGAGAGAGAGAGAGAGAGCATTAGTCTGTCAATGGATTTTCCATATTTATTTTAACTGAACATGTTGAACAAATTAGATATGGATTATACTGCGCATTATTTTTGCTGTGTTTAATATAAAATAAAAACACATTTTCATCAGACTTGGAATTCAAATATTTATTTATCAACTGTTTATCTAAATCCTAACACCAATTCAAAGATGAGTAATCCGGCCTTTAAATGCACTTTCTGTAGGTACTATACTTCAAAATTGTAAACGCATGCAAACAAGTTTCCTGATAATAAAATGAAGTGATGTCCCATGCTCAAATTGGTTCTAATTAGGTCTAAAGCTCCATGCAACAGCAGGGCTGAGCAGCATTCCTTTGCCATTACATTGTAACCGATCTTCATAGTCTCAGCTACAGGCCGTTTCAACCTCTCAGTGACCCCACATGATCTAAGTTTACAAAGCTGTGGCGAAACGTGAGCCCCAGACTCACTTTGCAGAATTAACTTCAATTGTGGGATTGTGGATTGAGAACACACGCCTCTGATTTGCACCATGAGTGGCCAGCCGAGTTACGTTTGCGGTGAGGAGACGGACTCTTCAGATTAACAGCTGGAACAGGACGGTCTGCTCCAGCTTTGGGATGATCATTTTGATGCACAGGTAGAAAACTAGGAATGAAAAACTTATTTAGACTTTGTGCATTTTTGTTTCAGTGATCTAAATCCTGTGGGTCAAAGGTGACCCTAGACTGACAATGTGAACTATCCGCTCCTCTAGGTTGTGCAGGTCCCCCGAGGCCATGTGGACCTGTTTCCTCTTCTTTCCCCCTCATAATTAGATTTCTGTGTCATCTTCCTGCCTTGAAGTGCTGGGGTCACCACGTCTACTTCCTACCTTGCAAAACAACACTGGTTTTGTATGTTTGGGAGAACAAATGAGAACTAGAAAAAATACCATTGAAGCCTTTTTTTCCCTGATTATGAGTTAATTTGTCATGATTTAATTTCTGTGAAGCATCATTACAATGGTAATAAGACATTACTGTTTGGTTTTATCATAAATAGTTCATTATAAAGTAATTAATGTGATTTTTGCAAATTAACATGAAGCTTACTTACACAAGATAAAACCCCAGACATAATATCTTTGTTTTTCTAACCATTGATGAGTCTGCCACCATGTTTTTTCAAGAGGCTCGGTCATATATCTAAACATGGATAAATGTCAAAAGGTTTACAGTTTCTGCAAACTTTTCACATAACTATTTTAAACCCATCTATCATGTGCTCTGATTCTGATGACCAGTAATAAGTCTGAATCTGTGGGTAGGCTGCCATCTGTTGGTAATTATGCAACACTACATATACATATACATATACATATACATATACATAGATGCGAGACGTCTGAACAAACTGGTGAAAAAGGCTGGCTCTGTGGTTGGATTCAAGCTGGACTCAGTGGAGGATGTGGTGGAGAGATCTACACTGAGGAAGGTGGAGACTATTTTAAAGAACATGGATCACCCACTTCACAACACCTAAATGGACCAATGGCCATCAGGCTTTATAATTTTTCTGTAAACAGAAGATGACTTTTAAAGACATGACAAATGAGACGACAGACAATTGAATTTCCCTTTGGGGATTAATAAAGTTCTTCTTCTTTTTATTATATATTTATTGGCTCATTCTGAAGATCTGTTTTTTTACAGCGTACATTAAACAACAATCATTAGCCATAGACTGTACAAGCAGGATGTAGCTACTAAGCTGGAAGTGAATTTGGGACAAATGTTCCGTGTGCAATAAATGTTTTATTTGAATTTTGTAAGATAATTGCACAGATCATTTACAATGTCCAACATGTGGTGCTGAAACAATTTGTATTACATGCTTTACATTACAAGTCAAGGTGCGTTAAAAGAGCATCACACTGTAAGGCATTATTCACAGTTACCTGCAGCTATAACACCAACATTTCACATCCATCCAGCTATCTCCCTTCATATTCATCTATTGATTTAATTCTCTGAGGGATTTTGATGGCAGGGTTTTGCTGCCATCTACTGGTTGAATTTGCACACTTCTTGCCCTTGTGCAGGCCGGTCAAATACTAACAAAAGTGTGCAGTATACTCTGAAGATGCCAAAAGAGTATTAACATGTACCATATGCTTTGGTTTGAATTGTAGAAGTAACCTTCGGTTATGTAAGCAGTCTGAACCAGATGATTGATTGCTTTTTCTCAACATGCATATCTGGAAGATGACAGAGTTTCTATTCCTCTGGGTAAGGAGAAACTTCGCTGACTCACACTCATGCTTATTCACTTTTTGTAACACGTGCACATTCCTCTGCTTTTAACACATGTACAGAGACATGCATCAAGGTTGCCTGCACAACAATATCTGTGTTCACGATGATACCATGGAATTTAAGGTTTTTAAGAAAGAGGACTCAGAAATGCCAGAATGTTCACTCTGTTCTCCATACATCAATATGATTGACTTTTACATCAAGATACTTGAGGAGGATTCACATGTTTGCTTTGTAGCTCAGTTGCAGGACCCAGGACTGCTGATTTCTACACAGAAAGGCAAAGATTAAAATTCACAGTGTACTCACTGTCAGTGCTTACCCTCACAGTAATGTGTGTCATATGTGTTGTTTATTTAATTTCCAAAGCATCACAGTTGGCTGCTTTTCCTGTATGTCCTTTTGATATCATTTCTTGAACCATTTTTATTTTTCACTATTAAAAGACAGAAGTTGAATAAAAACACCCAAACAAAAAACACACTCATTATTTCAGGTCTGCAGATGTTTTGGTTTTTCCTGGAGCCTGTTTTTCACATGATGTTTTTCACACTGAGTTACATGTTCACTGTAGGCACTCCATGCTCATTAGTGCTTCCTACATATGCCTTCACTACCCTTCCTCATTCTCATGATGCATGTTTGCTGTCCCGTCACACACCTCTTCCCTTTGCTTCTTTGAAAATGTTCACATTATGACACATGTATCACTAATTACAATTGTTCAAATATAAATGCACAACATCTTCCCTCTTCTTCCTCTACTGCTCTGCACATATACAGATTATAAATATACTCAAGCACAGTATTCAGTGAATTTCAGATAGCGTTCATAAACATGAAATGATGAAATAATTGAAATAATAAATGATAACAGATATTTTTAAATCATAACTACATAAGAGCTTCTGCTTGAGTAAGAATATCATGTATTCTTTATTTATGAAATAAAAACAATAAATACTACACAAAATGGTGAATAAAAACATTTTAAAACGTTTTCCATACTCTTAACCCCCCCAAATAGTCCCTATTCTCTACGGCCTTAACTACCCCTCTGCCATGAGTCATGAGTTCTCTTAAACACAGAAAACATTGAACAGTGTCTTAATAAAGAAATTATGACATGCAAAGTATATAAAAAGTCTTTCTGTGACTTTGGGCCCCTGGCTCTCTAAAATCTGAAATCACGTCTTGGCTTCTGTTGGGCCTTTAAATCCCTGTGCAGCTTACACCAGTGATTTTACCTTGTTCTGTGTTACTTTTTTCACCCATTATTGATTTTGTAAAGGCATGATGACCTGACTTGGCTTGTGAGACACCTGATGACAAATTTATCTCATTTAGAGATGCAACATGAGTAACCTCTGTAGGACTCTTGAAACTGATCTGCTGCTTCCAGCACATTTTAAAATAAATAATAAATTAAACCCGTGACCCATCATCCCATTTGTAAAGAGGCATCTCCTTTACCTGTGAACAAATATGTGGCCAGCAGCATTTCATCCATTAAAGCTTGAAGCAGCAACTGCTGTCATGTTTGTCTTAACCAATTCTTGGTTTGGCAGTCTGTTGTTGCCACGCCGATGACTTTCATGCTTGAAACATACAGTATGCAGTCCTTTTTCAGGTGGGTTTAATGTGTTTGATAGTCGCAGTGCAGCCCTCACAGTTCATCTTGAGCAGGATCTGGGAAAAAAACTGAAAGACACACTGTATCAAAGGCTTTTGTGAATGACACTACATGTGCATGATGTATTTTTGGAGGATGACTGCGCCTACCTTCGATAGAGCCTCTGAAATCGCTTCTTCTTTCTCGTTCTCATTGGCTAAAACAGAAACTTTTAGGTGAGCAGTCACTTTATGAATACCTGAAAAAAAGAACAAAAAGATGTTTTTCAATCTTAAATCTTGAAGTTAAATGCATCACTGAAAAAGAGAAATGTACTAAACTCGGTGTAAATGTATAATTTTAATTTCAATGACCCACCTGTAGCAGTGGAGAGTGTAGATGCTGAAGTTGTGGGGCCATCTGCTGGTGTAGTGTTAATACTGCTACTTGTAGTCCTCATTTGGCTTGTTGCTGTAGTGGCAGAGACACTAAACTTCAAAGTTGTCATGTCCTCCACCAGCGGAGATGTTGCAGTGCTATCTGTTCTGCTGGTTGTTGGTGAGGTATCAGTAAGTGTGGAAGCTGCAGAGGTTTTGAGAACTTGTGTTGTTCTTGTCGTTGTGTTGTGTGTTGTTGCTAAAACTGTGCTGTTTCTTGACGGTGGAGATGAGCTGCTGTTTGTTTTGTCAGCTGCTGTGGTAGGAGACACTGTGGAGGCTGAGGATGAACTGCTTGTTGGAGCTGTTAGGAAATCAATAGTCAAGAAGAAATTATTTTACCTTTATATTTTTTCATCCATCAAGTTAGACCCATGTTTTCTTCCCCTTGGTGATTGATTTTTACATCCCTGGTTTAAAACTGTGAGCCTTCTAGCAGTCAGTAATGATCACAACCCTATATGAATTAACTATATACCCTCTTTCTTTTGCATCCATTCAGCCTTACGTACATTTTGTGCATGTTGGGTTGTGGTCAGGACAGCAGTCACCGAATAACAAACAGGCTTCATCACAGAAACATCCTCTGTCACAGCTGTTGTTTTTACCGGTGCAACACAACAGAGGTGGACCTGCACAACCTGAAATACACACACATGGATCAACTGTAAAAGACTGAGACTTGACTTATTTCTAATGATACTATCCTGTCTTTGGTGACTTGAAAAATTGTGATTATTTAATTTCAAGGTAGTTTCCACACATTCGGGTCCTGACTTTTTCCAAACTTGCCCATCACAGTCAGGTGAATACTCCAGACTGAGTTTACCCTGACGGCAATACAGTGTACTATGTTTTGCTGGGATGGTTATCTCTATGACACAATGTGCCCACTTCAGCTGTAGCAGTAATTTGAAGCAAGGCATGGGCTATAAGATGATGTAGGATGAGAAAAGCAGAAATCACTTTCAAAGGTTAACATGCAACCCTGGTAATTGGCAACTTCCAGCTGGATGTGTCAGTGGTTTTGATAGTTAGCCTACTAACCAATCCAGCATTGGGACTGCACCTGAGAACTCCTAGCCTGGCTGGGCCATCCTGTTGCGTGAATCACTTGCCGTTCCTTCCCACAACAGTCTGGACTTCGGCCCATTGGGAGCGTGTATTCCCCATGTGTAGATGTGACGTCTAACACATGCTGCGGGACCTTTCAAAGCTCCGTTCATTCAGAACGCCGTTAATTATGCAGCTGACTTTGCAAAGTCGGCAGAAATCGTTTAGATCCGCAGAAGACGTGCGCAGAGTTGTCTGATTTCGCTAAAAAAACCGCAGAAGAAATGTTGTATTTACGCCTGTGCTGTGAACAAACCAACAAACGTGGTAGTGACTCACTCCATCCCATTCAGGAGTTTCCCCCGTGTCAAACATTGCCACTAGATGGCGCCCTTGCGTACTTAGTTCACTGTTCTGTCAAAGGCGGCACTGTGCGTGCAGATGTGACATCATTACGCTGTATGTATGCCTTGTTATGTTACAGGAAGAGCAGACACGGCACCTGCGGTTGTGTTTAATGCCAGTGTGTTAATACTGAAACCTCCTGTACTGGCCTCAGTGAAGAAGCCAAAGGTTAAAGAGTGAAGATGGAGTCAGGTAAGAGAGTCACGATCGGAATAAGTGTTTAAATGGACGCGTTTCAGAATAACGATCGGCATAAACCACCCCTGTCAATCAGAATACAATTTCTTTCCCATTGAGCCGAATTGGATCAGAATCTTCCAATCGGCATGTTTACATGGCGCATTATTACTCCGATCGGGGATTTATTTCGATTATTTGTGCTCTTGTAAACACAGCTATTGACACAAACTGGAGTGCTAATGTCTGATTAATCAAATATGTTACAGCATGAGCCTTTATGTTATTATTAGGCTAGTCCCACACATACACATATTCCCCTCACACCCACACAGACACACTTATAGCTGAAATTTTAAGCATAAAATCCACCAACCAAATACAACAGGTATATTTAAATTTGATAGCACTGAGCAAGTTTAGGACAACCTGTCAAAGTAGTAAATAAATGTGAATAAGCCAGTCTGACAAACCTTATATATCATGCTTATTTGGGCCTGTTAAAAAAGCAAGATAATGCTTCTTTTGACCACCAACAGGATATTTAAATTACAGCAGGAAAGGAAAAAAAAACAGTGTAGTTTTAAAAGACAATCATATCATGTTCGATACAAGAGCAAGAAAAGTTTGAGGTTGAGAAACTATATCATCTATGCAGTTAAAAGAAGTGTTGCTGAACTTGTGCTGTTGAAGTGAAGGCAGAGTGATTTGCATTTTGGCTGTCAGAGCAGGTATTTCAGATTATGAACTGGTGTTTTGCTGTTACCTGATGGAGTGACAGTGGGAGTCTCAGCTTGAGCTAGAAAATAAAAGGACAGACTTGAAACAGAACAATTAAGCTTTGGCTGTAAATTGAGCTTAAAGAAGAGGAGCCGATATGAATGATAGTGATTAAGTGATTTGCATTTTGGCTGTCAGAGCAGGTATTTCAGATTATAAACTGGTGTTTTGCTGTTACCTGATGGAGTGACAGTGGGAGTCTCAGCTTGAGCTAGAAAATAAAAGGACAGACTTGAAACAGAAAAATTAAGCTTTGGCTGTAAATTGAGCTTAAAGAAGAGGAGCCGATACGAATGATAGTGATTGAGTGATTTGCATTTTGGCTGTCAGAGCAGGTATTTCAGATTATGAACTGGTGTTTTGCTGTTACCTGATGGAGTGACAGTGGGAGTCTCAGCTTGAGCTAGAAAATAAAAAGACAGACTTGAAACAGAAAAATTGAGCTGTGGCTGTAAATTGAGCTTCAAGAAGAGGAGCCGATATGAATGAAATTTTAAACTACGAAGTGTTGCTGTCCACGATTCACTGTTAAATCTTATATGGAAGTTTGCGTACAGCTAGATCCTTTGACAGACTGCCTTAGCGCACTCTACAGCACTTCTTTGTCGTGACAGATTTTTTCTTATTCACTCAAACACAACATGTATTTTTCACTGAATTCTGTCAAACTATTTTCTTTACGTCTTTTATTTCCATTGAGCGTTTACATAAGGTTTTCTTTATCTAGATAGGAGCTGGCTTGATGATTGATTGTTCTTAGTGCCTCAGTGTTCAGTTAGTTATTTTAATTCTAAGGTAGGAACAATCAGCACTAGAGGATAATGCTGTCTACCTGTTGTTCTTGTTTTTGTTCAAGAAATCAGGTTAGTGAAGTTGTTTAAAATGAAATAGAGCACCCAAGGACAACAACCTGGTGCAGCAGGATCTTCATTTGAATTTTAAGTGGAGCTGGAGCTGCACCCATAAGCGGAGAGTTTTTTTTTCTTTTTTTTTAATATTTCTTGTTTTGTTTATTGCAATCATTTTATCAGCTTGGCAAGGTAAGGTTAAAACAAAATGTCAGTAAGTGAGCCTCATACAGCCAGGTCAAACACGTGTTAATAAGCATTTAACATCCTTTCTACAAGTCTGTCCAGATTTCTTCATCAGTAAAAAACACTTTTGTATTAAGCGGCTATGCTTCTATTCAATTAAATATTGAAATAAGGTTTCACCTACCATTACTAAAAGACAGCAACCCCAACAGTAGAAAGCAGTATGATGTAAACCAGCTCATGACTGTGTGTGACTGCGAGTATAACTGAGTCTTCTTTAAAGATACAAGCACGTAGACACCATCCCTCCCCCAACACACAGACATACGCAGATACAGATACACACAGCAAGACTTTCACAAGTCACCTATTGTCAGCTTTCACAGAGGGATCTCGTGTTACAGAAGTTCTTAAACAATATTCTTCTGAAATGATTAGACTCTTTTCAGACGCCGTGGTTAGAGCATATGAGACGTTCAGACTACAGACATGCATGTTAGGAATGTTCCTGAAGCTGCAAAAGGATATAGAAGGAAATGCAGTCAAACAAGCACAAAGCAGCATTCTGAAAAGAGTTTATTGCACATTTAAAATCCATTAAACAGGTTAAATGGTTAGATGAAAGATCATCCATTAAGTGGCATGAATAATCTTCATCTAAACACAGTGTATCATACATTTTATTTAAACATGGCCCTGCTTTGTTTGACAGTATGTGCTTAGATATAAGAACATCATCTTCTGAATAAATAACAGAAATAGCATTAACAATAAAGATGACACAGTATATAGTCAGAGTGCAAGTGCGAGTGACTTTAAAGTCTCTACAGTGATTGGAAACCTCTTCTAAAACAGAGTTGAAAGTTTTACATTAGGTTCCAAAAACAATCACATCCTCAAACAATAAAGGTGCAATAAAGATGTATATTTACTGTGAAAGAGCCAGAGGTTGATAGAGTTTTAAAGCTGGTCAAAACAAGGTGTTCATGTTCAAGCCAAGTCACACTTGCTGACTTAGGTTTTTTAGAGTGGGTATTATCGAAGAAGAAGTAAAAATGCTGTCATGATAAAAATGTTGTGGAGATTTTTCTCAGTTTACTACTAGAGCTGTTTTTTTTTAAGTGCTAAAGGTTTTTAAGTTCCATGTCTCTTCCTCAGATGTGTCTGATATTCACACTCTCCAGCTCTCTCCAAACTCCTGAACATTCCTGGCTCTGGTTCCATCTGGTTTCATCAGCTCGTTTTGCTTTCTGCCATCAAAGTTTCCACACAGGCCCCCAATCTTCCTTTTATAGATGTTTGGTAGAATGATCTCTGCATTAACAACATAAACCACACAGTGTTAGCTCAAGTATTGTATAATATTGTCAAAAAAATACATTCGTATGCATTGACATGAGAGAAAATAGTTATGTATGAGGCACATATCTGCTATGAAAGTTTAAGTGTGTAGGGATTCATAGATTCTGCTTAACACAGTTAACATCGATTTGGATGTCAATACAAGCTATTTACCTTAAAGCAAAATCAAATATCAGATTTTTCCCCCCTTAAATAGTTTTTTGTTCACTTTTCACTTGTTCTATGTTTGTTTTTATTAATCAGCACATCTATATCAGGGGCCCTAATTGCTTTACTTAATATAACAGTGATCATAGTTCATTGTAAGAGCTTAATGTAAATAATATAGACCAGCTGTATCAGCACACAACAATGTAAGTAGTCTGTGATGATGAAATTGGGTAATTAATTGATAAACCTAACCAGCATCTTGAAATAATGATCTGTTACACAGCACTTTATTACAAACACGTGGTGGTTGGTAAAATATTTTGTCTATTGTTCTATCATGTAATTGGTGTGGGTGATGTCTAATATGTAAAATCTAAATAACGATTAAATCATCTGTCTTAAGCACCTTCACCTGTGGAAGTTTGCCTTTAATCTAACTATCTACGCTGCTGTCACAGTCAGCAAAGACACTGTGTTGCCACTGCAGTGCTGGCAGCTACGCAAGATGGGGACACACATGAATTGCTGTCTGGATTTGCCTGTGTGAACAGCTGCAATCAACGACTGCCAAATTATTTACTGATTAGCTGATATCTGTCAACAGGAACAATTTTGACCAATCCCAATGCATCCTGGCTACTGCCCATTCTATCAGACTAGTTTCATGGTGTGAGAGTTTGTTACCTGCTTCACTTTGACCATCAAACTCCACTGAAAGACCAAAGTCTGTCTTCAGGTAGATGCGAGAGGAATGCTTCCAGATTCTTAGACCAGGAATTGAGACAGGAGTGTTTGTTCTCTTTCCATCCATCTGAAGAGAAAAAGCAATGAGAAGTGTCAAAAGAACCTACTCAAGATGAGCAAGTTTGTAATATCCAAAAAACTCCACTGTTGGTAGATAAGGCATTACAGACCAAACAGCTTCTTTCCCTTTTCTTAAAAAAACAAAAAACAAATACCAGTTTCTGCTTTCATGTGCTTAAACTTGATTTCTATTGATTGCAGTAAACCATGTTCTGACTCACTTGAAACCACAAAGCTGAAAATACACCTACGAGACACTGTTTGCATGAAACATCTCCTGTATTAGAGGATCAAGTCGGAAATTTTTATATCTCTCTTTCTCATTCTGCTGAAAATGTGTAAACCACCACAAGGGAAATAACTTTTGATGAACAAAATTTAGTGCACAGCACACTGTCCTGCTGCTGCTGTTCCACCTCACAGAGAAAATGTGAAGAAACACTTGTGATTACTCTCAGTGCTACAACAAATGATTGCAGACAGGCAGGCAGGCAGACAGACAGACAGACAGACAGAACTATGATTATGTCACTGCACGAATGAAAGCCTGCTTAGAAAAATGATAGGATGACTGTGCGACTTTGAAAAGGCCCACTGTACTCACAATCAGCTTTCGTTTCCTCTTCAACTCCACAGTGTGATTGTACACTCTGATTTTCAGCTCCTGCAAATGGTCGTGCTCATGATCTTCTTCACTGTCATCACTATGGTCATGATCCTCCTCACTATCATCATCCTCGTCCTCATCCCTAACTCTGCGGCTGTCGTCTTCTTCACTGCTACTGTCATCATGATGATGACTGTCATCTTCATCATCTGTGCGCCTGTTAACTCCCTCGATGTAGACTTCTTGGAGGTTATTTGGCAAGTTCTTGGTCCATACCAGCACATATGAGTGCCCCCCCTCAAAGTCATGCTTAAATTTGTCAAAGGTTCTGTATTCAGGATCTTCCTTGATAGTGCACTCACTGAAGCCTGTGGAGCAACAAGTGCACAGCAGTTTATAAATTAGTAAGCAATGTGGGACACGGTGAAGTTACATCATGGAGTCATATGTTTAATATTTACTGCACCTGTAGACTGGCAGTAATAGTCTCCATTTTCATTTTGAAGACACACAGCATCTCCATCACACTCATCCTCATCTTCACATTTAATCCTCCCCACACCATGGTCCTTTTTGCATTCACATTTCTCACTGCAGTGGCTGGTGTACCACTCATCATTGAACTGAAAGGAAAAGAGAATGATCAAACCCCTTGGACTTTATTTATTAAATACGTTGTCCTAGTTGGGGCTGTCACTTCCACTAAGTATTCCTAGGCTGCTACAAAGTCAAAGCATGACCGGTGCCATTGGAGTAGTTCCTCTTAACTGTCACTCACCTGATATTTGGTGCCATTGCTGTTTACACATCCACACTGTTGTATAGGAACACAGACCCCAGCTTTCTGCACAAACCCATCGTCACAAACACATCCAGGTGCACAAACTTGGTTGCTACACTGTGGTGGGCCATTCAAGTATGAACAGGTTGGACTGCAGGCAGGGACACATGTCGTGTAGTGACTGTTCTCAGGGCAAGAGGGAGCTGAAATGACAAAAACATAGACACAGTGTTTGCTAATCTGTGGGCTTAAAAACAGTCATGGTCAAATGTGGTGGCTAACTTAAGGGGTTTTGAGTAAGAATAAAGGAAACACAGTTCATGTGATCCTTGGAAATGGAAAATGTATGTCTTACTCGGTACTGGTGTATTTGATGAGTTGTTTGTTGTTGGTGGGTGTGGTCTGGCTGTTGTTGGAAGCTCTGGATGAGCTGTTGTGGGAGGGTGTGGTCTGGCTGTTGTTGGTATCTCTGGCTGGGCTGTTGTTGGTGGCTGTGGTCTGACTGTTGTTGGAGGGTGTGGTCGGGCAGTTGTTGGTAGCTCTGGATGAGCTGTTGTGGGAGGGTGTGGTCGGGCAGTTGTTGGTAGCTCTGGATGAGCTGTTGTGGGAGGGTGTGGTCGGGCAGTTGTTGGTAGCTCTGGATGAGCTGTTGTGGGAGGGTGTGGTCTGGCTGTTGTGGGTGGGTGTGGTCGGGCAGTTGTTGGTACCTCTGGATGAGCTGTTGTGGGAGGGTGTGGTCGGGCAGTTGTTGGTAGCTCTGGATGAGCTGTTGTGGGAGGGTGTGGTCTGGCTGTTGTGGGTGGGTGTGGTCGGGCAGTTGTTGGAAGCACTGGATGAGCTGTTGTGGGAGGGTGTGGTCTGGCTGTTGTGGGTGGATGTGGTCGGGCAGTTGTTGGTAGCTCTGGATGAGCTGTTGTGGGAGGGTGTGGTCTGGCTGTTGTGGGAGGGTGTGGATGGACTGTTGTGGGTGGCTGGGGTGGGGCTGTTGTTGGTGGGTGTGGTCTGGCTGTTGTGGGAGGGTGTGGATGGTCTGTTGTGGGTGGCTGTGGTGGGGCTGTTGTTGGTGGGTGTGGTCTGGCTGTTGTGGGGGGTTGTGGAGGAGCAGTTGTTGGTAGCTCTGGCAGAGCTGTTGTGTGTGGGTTTGGTGGTGCTGTTGTTGGTAGCTCTGGATGAGCTGTTGTGGGTGGGTTTGGTGGTGCTGTTGTTGGTAGCTCTGGCAGAGCTGTTGTGTGTGGGTGTGGTGGGGCTGTTGTGGGTGGATGTGGTCCGGCTGTTGTTGGTAACTCTGGCTGAGCTGTTGTGGGTGGGTGAGGCTTTTCTGTTGTTGGTGGCTGTGGCTGGGCTGTGGTTTGGGGTCTCTCTGTTATGTTAGGTCTTGGTGGCTCTGATGTTTCCAGTCCTGGGTAAAATGTTGTTGTTTGGGGTTTGGCTGTACTTTGAGGTGGAGTGGTGTTTGTTATTGGCCCTGTTGTTTGGTTGTACCATGGACCTTCTGTTGCAACTGACTCAAAGATTGTAGGAGCAGGGGTGACTGGTTCAACCAGATCTGTCAAATTTAATGGATGACAATCATATTAGTTTTAAGTCCTGTCATGTTTGAATAAAAATGCATGTCTATAGAAGGACAGACCTACCTGCACAGCGGCCATAATGAAGCGACACATCATCAATGGCTACGTCTGATTGATCGTTAGATCCTCTACGCCCCTCAAAAATGATCTAAGATAAAGGTAAATGTTGTGCTCAATTTTGATTGTTTTCCTTATTTTTCTAGACTAGATTGTTAGTCATAAGTTCCAGTTTCTGTTTAAACATCTAGGAAATTGGTTGCTTTGGAACAAAAGTAAAGGTAAGTTACTCACTTGGAAAGCCCCAGTCGCAGTGAAGTCCACCTGAGCCAGGTGCCACATATTTCCCTGGTCATTCCTCTTCCATAAAACTGCATCTGCCAATCTATCCTGAAGCAAGTAGACATGGAGGCCCATTGTATCCGCTGAGCCATACATATGATACCAAAACTGGAGACACTGAGGACCAGTTTGAGAACACTCAGAACTGATAAGACGAGCTGTGTCTCCATGTGACACTCCATTGGCTTCAATGTACAGATAGTGGCCACCTGAAGGACAAAGAAGTCTGTGAGTTTAAGTACATTGAGAATTCTTAACTTCTTCTAAAAGTTACACACTAAAACTTATCAAAAAGCAGTTAAAGTTTGTTACACAAGTTTTACATTAATCTTAAATCCTAAAAGATGAAACATAATATTTGAGAAAGCCTAAATAATAATGTAGTATCTTGATGAAATACAGTACACAAGGAATTTAATGCAAGACACTCTACAAATCTGGTTAAATTAGGAAAAACTTCTAAAAGAACGAGTTAAGAATGTGACTATGAAACTGGGCAGAGTGTGCCTTTTATTTGTTTGCGGGCAGCTCTACACAAAGTGAAATTGGCTTGTGTCACAAAGCTGATTACCTCCTGTGGTGTGATCTGAGGAAGGCCCAGTCATCGCTGTAGGAGTGGGGCCACTATGTCTTGTCCAGTCAAATACATCAGTAAGTAGTTGGTTCCACTGACATATGTCTTGTTCAAAGTTACAGTCAAGTTGACATACTGGAAAAAAAATTCAAGAATACTTTTAAATGCCTTTGAATATGGTGGTTGTAGAAAGACGATTTGGAATAGAAACTTTTATGGAAGCGTTATCATTGAGGGTGCACACACTCTACAACACACTAGTACTTTACCTGGATGTGGCACAGGGGTATAATCTGGGTTTTTCGTAACATTGTTGACATTATTTGGGTAAATTGTTGTTTCCACAACGGGAGGTAATGTTGCATTTGCAACAGGTGGCTGATCTGTAACATCAGGAAGAACAGTAGAATTGACCAGTGGAGGCTCTGGAGCTGATGTGGTTGGTAAGAAGGCAGTGCTGTTTTCATCTGGTGTAGGAGGGTTTGTCACAACATCACTCAGATCTGCAACAGTGCATAATATAGTTTAAATTGGATCTGAAAAACATCCTCAACACATAGGATTAAGTGGGGCTCGAAGTTTACATATTTTCTCACCAGCACATCGTCCGCGATAAAGCATTACATCATCTATGGCAACATCAGACTCTTCATTGGATCCTCTACGCCCCTCAAATATTATCTATTTTATGAAATAAATTGTTTTAGAAGTTTATTATGGAAGTGGCTGATAATCACTGTATCACAATTTTGGCGCCTTGAAGGAGGTATCTGACCTGGTAAGCCCCAGTTGTTGTGAAGTCCACTTGAGCTAGGTGCCACATATCCCCTTGGTCATTTCTCTTCCACCAAATAGCATCAGCTAGTCTGTTTTGTAACAAGTAAACATGAAGACCCATTGTATCTGCAGAGCCATGCATATGGTACCAGAACTGCAGGCACTGTGGACCAGAGTCAGAACACTCAGAACTGATGAGACGAGATGTGTCTCCATATGTAACTCTGCTGGCCTCAATGTAAAGGTAGTGGCCACCTGGAAAAGATTAAGAAAGTCGACATCAAAATTGGCAAATTAACAGTGTTTGACGAGAGATTTTTTGTCTTTACCTTTAAACTAATATTTAAGAGAGAAAGAGTGCATTCATTTACCACCAGTGTGGTCAGCAGAGGGCCCGGTCGACAGTGTGGGAGTAGAACCACTGTGCCATGTCCAGTCGAAAGCATCTGTGACCATCTGACTCCAGCTACAAAGGTTGCTGTCAAAGCTGCAGTCCAGTCCACAGACTATAGGGGAGATATTTAGCAAAAGCTCAACATGAACAATTCATTAAGGAACTAACACAAACAACTTCCTGAGAATTTAGACAATCTTGACTTTAGTTTCCTTTATAAATGCAGGTTTAGTATTTACTGGGCTAGACAAGACTGTTAATTTGTAACCACACTTCAGCCGCTTGACTCATAAGCGGCTCATAAAACATTACTTCCTGTGTACTCACCAGGGTGTGAGGGAAGTAAATCTTTAGCTGTAGAGGAAGGCTTAACCAGGCCAGGGAAGCTACCTGAGAGAAGTTGTAAATGACGTTTTAAAATCCTGACATTTAGATTCTAGGACCTTGGAAATTTGTCACCACAATTAGAAATGTCCTAATCAATTTCATGATGCATTGTATCTTTTGTCAAGTTTAGTGTTTGTTCTCCAGGTTGGAGGTCAATTGTACCTGAGCAGGAGCCAAGGTGGATGGAAATGTCATCAATGGCCACATCTGATTGGTCAGTAGAACCTCGAATTCCCTCCACTATGATCTGAAAATGACAAAAAAGAGTACATAATGTGCAACATTGAAACAGCATGTTTCATGTGCATATGTAGTCCAATTTGTCTATGTAATAGGGGCAACTTACTCTGAAAGGACCTGGCTCTTTGATGTCAACATATTCTGGATGCCATTCTGGTCCCTGGTTGTTCATTTTGGACCACAGCTTTGTAGCTATATTGCCTTGGAGCAGGTAGACATTAAGAGCCATAGCTGAAGCTGAACCATGCATATGGTACCAGAAGTGCAGGCAGAGTGGGCCATTATAATGGCACGTTGAGCTCATCAGACGGGCTGAGTCTCCATGTGTTGCCATGTTTCCCTCGATATACATGTAGAAACCAGCTACAGAAATGTTTGGAAAAGCACATTCAGTATTGAAAATGAAAATCTGTACGACAACACAAGCTACTTTAATCAAGCCAAACACTGACTTTCACCTCCGGTCGTGTGGTCTTGGTTTGGGCCTGTTTGGTGTGATGGAGTGGACCCTGAGTTTCTTGTCCAATCAAAACTGTCCTGTACGAGCTGTTCCCACCCACACAGATTCTTATCAAAATCACAGTTCATGGGACAAACTGTGAAAAAACACATGAACACAAGGACATAGTGATGAAGTAGCCCAGGCTACCCAAGCATGGAAATCATAACATTCACAAAAATGTTTATTGCACTGGAACATAATCAATAAAGCTAGTTTTTCCAATCTGTTGATAATGACAGCATGGAAATTCAAACACATTAGTGCATCAAATATCTGCTGATGTATAAAACTGTTGAACCAAGCACTGTTAAAGGAGATCTTTGGTTTCATAATCCTAATTCCTAAAGTGGATTACCCCTCTACCTATCTGAAGTAGTTACAAATCATCAAATTGTATTGCTCTTACGAGTCTGAGCTGTTGTGGTAGGGGAAGAAGTTGGGGAAAAAGTTGGGGCTGGAGGACCTTCAGTGGTTGTAGGGTCAGCTGGAAATTAGGAAAAACACAAACATTCAAATAAACAAACAAAAAACACACAAAGAAGAATGGGTTAAAATTTTTTGCTCTTTCATTACCCAGAAAATCAAGTTCAGTTAACACCTCTATTTTTAACATCTAGATTTTTCCAACATGGCTTAAATTTTTGACAAGACAAACTTGAAAATCTAAAATATCAATAATATTATTGACAAAATAAAATAAATCTCCAACCAGCCATACCATAATCAAAGTATTATAAACTCGTAGTACAGAGTTTTAAAGAATTTTGTAAGAATAATCAATAAACATGAAAAAGTCATGCACAAATAAATAACACTATTGCATTGTGTCAGTGAATTCATAAATTCAGTCAGAGACATGCAAAGATCAGCATCATTATTATCATTTCTAATCAGCTACTCACCACAGACTGTGCCTGTCTGCCAGTCAGGTAGCTCCAACCCTGCAATCTCACAGGCTGTGGCATAGGACTCCAGAGATTCACATAAGGTGTATTGGTCACCACTTGTAGCACAGTAGTCATATACACAACTATTCAGATAGATGCTTGGGTGGATTTTTGCATGGCAGGGCTTGAAGGGCTCCCTGAGCAGTACATAACACTTGTTGTAAGCCTCATTCTCCTCCTCATAATCACAGACTCTGGGTTCATCAGGGTGAGAAACACACCTGAAAGAGAAAGCTTAAATCAGTCAACTGATGGGAAGAGTATATTTGTAATTTTACAGAAGTAAGTCGCCTGGGCAGTCAAAAAACAGGAATGCAAAAATTTGAGTCTTTGAAGAGATTTGAAGTCATTTGATCAACATAACACATAATTAAGTCTCGCAAAAAATAAATGTTTGGTTTCCAAGTTATGGTCCATTAGGGGTTATTGAAATTGAAATTTTAATCCTGGCTTCTGGTAACATCAACGGGACTGTGCTGGTTACGCAGTACACTGGTATGTTGATTTCATGTCAGATTAGCCAGATACAACCTACATTCAATTTTGTCTTCATATTCAGATCAATCCAATCACTGCCAAATCTGTCATCTGCTTGTTTTTTTGTATCTGTGTAGCAGGGCATTATACCACTGTGGTAGTAGACATGATCTGGGACTACAGCCCAGGCTAGTTCCTGGTGGTTGCACTACAGTCTAGACACAACATATGAATAGCATTTCAAGCCTAAAACAATTTTAAAACATCATTGGCAATTCAGTCAAGTGCTTTGAAACTCTGGTGCAGACTCAATCTTATACATCTCTGGTTTGGGGATACAATTGACTCTACAGTGCTTGTTTGGTTAATAACTTTAACACAATGACCCAGCTGTTTAATAATGTATATATCCTTTTCTTTAAAAATGTTCAACATTTGTACAGGTATTATCCTTAATTTAAACTACTTACTCATCATCACCGGGCAGCCTCCAGCTGTCTCCAAACTCAAACGGTCCTGTAGCATTTTGACCCTCTGGCGTTACAAAGTCATCATCCTGGTATCCAGAGTAGGTGCCACACAGCCCACACAGTTCATACTTGTAGCGGTCATCCACTTGCAGGAAAAGTCTGTGTTGCCCATCTATCACAATTCTGAGGCCAAAACTCGACTCTAAGACGATAAAGCTTTTCCTTATGTCTACCCAAACTGAGCCGTATGTGCCATTGGCAAAATATGGGAGTCCAACAGGGTTATCGTCAACCTAAAAAGAAATAAAATCAAATAACATATTTCACTGTTAATTTAATCTTTTTAGAAGTGCACTTATTTTTACTGTCTCACATACAGTACAGGAGCCCTGTTTACTGTGATAGCCACTGTAACCAATTTGCTGTCAGACAGCTGTTCAGCGCAAAAGTCAAGTGGGTCAGTTATTAGTGTGTGTGTATCAATTCAAGTCCCAGAACGCAAACAAATTATATCCTCCAATGACCTGTAGCCGAGTAATAACTCATGGGTGTGCTGATACTAAAGTCATTAAGGTCATTTGCAGATAATGCAGAACAATGACTCTCTACTCAGTAAATGGCCCACTTCATATACTCTAGGTCTTTGAAGATGGACTTGTACTTGTATAGCCCTTGTTTGGTCTTGCTGACCACTCAAAGTTTTTGCATTACAATTACAATCACCCGTTCACACCACATACATACACAGATGGCAGAGTTTGGCCACAGTCTCATGCTGAAGAGCCCCATTCAGGAGTTTTTGATTATTACATATATAGACTCATAAAGAGTTTAATGCTTACATAGACCTCCCGGCTCATATTCAGGGCGAGGTATAGACCCTCAACCTGCAGAGCCACTGCTTGGAGCTTGGACCGGCTGGAGTTCTGGAAGGGAGGATGCATGTTGTGTCCAATCACAGAAAACTGCACTGCGCTCTCCCTCCCACATGTGGTTGTAAGCGTGTAACTGCATCCGCCTTGAAAATCGTATGCCAGCCCGTCAAAGGTGACGTAGTGTGGGTCCCCGTACACACGGCAGGTGGCAGGACGGAAAGCGAAGCAGCCTTTGACCCCGTCTTGCGTCTTACAAACTTCATTGTCTGTGCATTGCATTGCTGTGCACTGCACGTTGTTACTGCCCATACACTGGCACTGCGTCTCACACTCTCCTTCCATAAATGTGTCTCCTTTCTGCATGAAGAAGAAGATTTGTTTGAAGATATTCCTGGATTTTAAAGTTGAATATTTGATCATGTCATTGCATAATGCTTACCTCATAGTGTTTACCGTCATACCAGCACCCACAGTCCTCTGCTGGGACACACTTTCCCCCATTGAGTTTGTAACCAGGGTCACACTCACATCTCTCCTCGCAGCTTCCACACGAGCCAGCTATATCCAGGCTGGAGCACACATCTGGACAGCCATCAGCACAAGAATTATAGTGGCTATTCTCGCCACACTGAAGAGCTGAAGAGGGAAGAAAGAGGAAAAGGAATGACCTCATTACACTCATTATTTAACAACCGGAGTAGAGAAATGGAAGCTGGAAATAAGCAACATACGGCAGAGTGAAGTGTTCCTCCAAAGTGGTACAGCAACTCCAGCCTCCTGGCAGATTCCAGCATAGACCTCTAATGTTTCACACAGCACTGCAGGGTCGCCATGAGCAGAGCACATGCTGGACATACAGCTTCTGTAATAGCTCTCTGACCCCACGACTGACTGACAGTTGGCAAAAGGCCCTGTACTGGAAAGGAGGCTCCCACAGTACAGCTCACTAGCATACTCAGTCTCCTCTAGTGCGTCACACTCATGAGGTACGAGCATTGTTTCACATGAGGAGTTGGTTTGACCCGTCTGCCAGCTATGAGCCAAAGCTGTGGCATCTCTGGCGTTTGTGCCATCAGGTGTTCTGAAGTCATCTTCTCTGAGGCGGTTGAAATTTCCACACAAGCCGCAGACTTTATCAGAATACTTTGATGGCAGGTTGACGTGGATGGCACCAGCTCTGTCGAAGGAGACTGAAAGACCAAAGGTGGTTCTCAAAGACACAGCAGCGGGGTTGCTCTTGACACGAACATCTTTGAGGCGCAGCGGGAGCTTATTCCAAACCCCATTAACCTGAAAAACAGCGCAAGTTATGGACTTACTTACTGGCAGTCATGAGCAATATAACCCTTATGTGTCTAATAGTTTGTTTAAACAGCAGCATTCATGAGATAGATCTATCTTTGTGAAGTGATAAGGCTGATAAGTCCACGAGGAGTCCCAGGACATTATGTCACTAGACTCTTAACACTACAATAAACTCTTTTTATTATTATAGTGTTCAGCAGATAAGAGAAGTTGACCTGGTACATTTTCAAGCTTAACAAGAATTAGAAAACTTAAGATATGTCGGCTGTTTTAAAGTTTTTAAAGAACAGTTGTAAATAGTTAATTGGAAACACCCCCCCAAAAATGTTCTTTTTCCAAACAGACTGAGTTTTGGCTTCTACATTGGCGGACACTTCATCACAGGCAACAGCCCTCCTGAATTTGTATCTCACTTCACGGTAACTCACCACAACTCTGCGTGTCGTTCTCTTCAGCAGAGAAAATCGGTGTTCTCCCACACTCACAACAACCCGTTGGACAGTCGGATGAGAAGAGTTCCCTTTCTGCTTATTGACCACTTCCACATTGAACACAGGCAGGGCCTCGCTGGGTGAGCAGCTCTTCGCCAGTACGTATGAGCAGGGGGCCATGAAGCGGAAGAGCACTCCATCAAAGGTGCTGCAGTCTGTGTCGCTGTGTATTGTGCATGTCCCAGGAGCAGAAATCTCAGCTGAGTCACTTCTTAGAGGGCCACAGGTTTGGTCCTGAGGGCACCGAGAGGCAGAGCAGGAAAGCTGGCCCTCGGAGCAGAGGCAGCGTGTGGACTCATCTGTCCAAAACTCTGTGTTTGATTCACACTGGGATCCTGTGGGGGAGGGGGGGGGGGGCGAGTAAACAATCACAATATAACCACAACACCATCTGGCTCAGGAAAACTGATTAGTCTTATTCATTATATTGTTATTATCCTTGACGTAAACACTGTACATATTGATTTTAATAATCTTCAATATGAAACCTATTTATTAATGTACGGAAAATTTATTACTTGATTGTATTCTCAATCATATATCAAGACATGGACAGAATTATAACCAGCTTCAGCTGTAAAATTATGAAACAACAATAGTGCAATTATAGGTTAACGATTCAGAGAGACTTGGTCTTACCATGTGTACCTAAATACATCATGATATGTCCCCTGAATTGTTTTCACATCAGTATGCCAGTTGTTGCCCCTCAAACAGCCAAACTAGCAATAGTAGTGCTCATGTCAAATGTTGTTCAGACTAGCAAAATCAAAGAAGTCAGTGTTTTTCTATCTGTATTTTTTTCAAACCCCACCAGATTTGGAGAGATACTTGGTGTTGGATAGTACCCAAAACTTGGTACCAAAATTGGTGTTTGGAAGGAAAACATGGTGACTGAATATTTGAAAATATTTAATTCACTGCAGCATAGGTTGTCAAGATTTCAAGTACTTTGATAATTTCCAATATCACTTGCTTAAAAAAATACAGTTTCCATTATAGTATGGATAATATTGTACAGCACCACAGCTTATGTAACTATGCCATATTTCCATGTACAGGAGAGAGATAAAGGGACGAGAGGGAGCTCTGTAAAAGTTTCCATAAGTACTGACTTAAGGACTGTTGATAGGGATGTTGACTCCTCTGGGAGGAGACCGACACCAATAAAATCAGAAAAAAATGGTCAGAGAACAAACTCTCTGCATAAGGAATTATTATCCCAAAGAAAATATATTTTTTAATCATTTTGGGTGTTGTATATGTGTTTATTTTTTGTTGTTTTTTAAGTTAAGTAAGATTAGTATAATTATGTAAGTTCAAAGTTCTGCTAATGTGACTCAGATTGAACCAAAAGTTTGCTGTTGTAAATTACGGTAAAATAAAAGTTGTGGAATATTTACCACATGAGCCTCTCCTCACACCGATCTGGTTTAATACGCCCTGCCCCACCATGGACACAGCTTCAATTGCTTCAAATACCACCTAATATGAAAAAATAAATCATTTATTTGAATTGATCCAATATGATACTGATCAACCAATATGGTTAAATTACAGTTAAGCCATTTTATTACCTGACTCCCAGGCTCCATGATGTTCAGGGGGACAAACACTTGTCTCCAGACCCCTTCAAGGAGGGCAGGGGAGGACCAGAGCTCAACCTCACCAGCACTGGTTTTTAGCAGAGTACGGAGTTCTGATCCAGTGAGGTACCAAAACTCCAGACATGCCTCACCCTGTAGCTCCAGCGGACCGCTCTCCAGAATAGTCACGGCAACATCCCCTTGAGTTGAAATCGCAAAATTAAAACAAATAATACTTTCATTTTATCTTTTGAATTGTTTTAGTCTAACACTTTGTTTCTAAAGAGCAAAATTAAGGGTCTTCAAATCATTCGAAGAGGGAGCTTTTAAAAAACAAACTTTTTAAAAAATTTTTTTATTGTGATAGCACGAGACATACATCTGTTGTGTTGCAACTATAATAAACTCAGAAAAGCTTTTTACAATATCTTGTGCTGGATTTGAAACAATACAGACACTTTGGTTCCCGCTGGCAGAGAACCAGGCTATAAAAGATTACGAGTCTGCCCCAGATCAGTTAATGATAGAGAGTGTCACAGAAAGTGTGACAATCTGCCGGAAGATTAAAACAGAACTGTGGACTAATGTTCCAAATCTGCTCTGTGTTGGAGGATCACAATTAAAGGTTGTTTCAGTCCAGTTATCTCTTCTGTCAAAGTGAACTATCAGTGGAATTAATCGTGACCTGCTTGGATGCCATAAAACTTTTCTGGCAATTATAGAAGCCAAATATTTAACGAATTAAATCTGTCTCCATACCTGATATCTGTTGATTCCTCGTCCAGTCACAAACAAATGAGTTTTGTCTGTTGTAGAAGCATTGTGTAGCATAGTCTGTGAAGAAAAATGAAGGGGTTAAATGCAGTAAAATCTTAGAAATTTGACAAATTTGTCTTCAGGATCTATCTACACTGACGTACCTGAATTTGCTCTCCATTCTGGTAAAGTTACAAATGACAATTCATTTTCAGCCCTACAATGCAAAAAACAAACAAACAAAAAAAGGCAAATAAATAAAAAAAAAAACGATCAGATTTCCTCTGAGAATATTTTTTTTACACTGAAAATTTGCGGTTAAATTTTCTTTACCACACTGAAAATATTAACATGACAGATAAAAGTTCTTATGACTTAAATGGTTCAATTTTAATCATCTTGAGACCCACCTGCTCAGAGTCCCAGTCTGACTTAAAAAGAGTAGAGTCACTGTGACCAACAAATCTGTGTGAATTCCACCAAGCATAGCTGATCCTGTCGCTTCAGCCTCTCAGCTGCTCTCCCGTTGCTAATACTCTCCCCTCTTTGATGAGCTGAAGAATGACTGATGAGCAGTAACCGCTGTGGAAACACAGCTAATGAGACTCTTAAACTACCAGCTCTGAGGTGGAAACCCTCTCTGGTCCTTCTCAGAGCTGTGCTTAGGGTTTACGTATTTATAGCCCCCCAACACCTCACCAGGTAATATCTGCAGTGGGCGGGGAGAGCGAGAGGACTGGCTCATATGAAAGGTGTGGGACCGAGACTTTTCTGTGAAATGATGATGGACAAGGTCAGGGTTTACTGTTGCCCGGTCATAAACCTAAATTTCTTTATATTCTTGTTATTTTATAAAGAGACAAAAGTCACACGCAAGTTGAATGACAGGTGCAAAAGTGAGTGAAGGCAAAGGCAAACACGGCTCTATAGACAAAGCATTGGTAACTAAAAGGTTGAAAGACATCAAGCCAAAACAGGAAGTCACTTTTTTCCTGACTGTTTATTGTGGTTTACTTTCTAAACACTGTTGAGGCACTGACCCAACTGTGTATTGTAAGAATCTAAAAAAATACAGTTATACTACTAAAGCTGACTTACGGGACGTCTTGAGAAACGTTCATTGCAGCGCTACAGAATAGAAAACGTTAGCGCTAAACATGATGATATAACAACCAAACAACAGACTAGGCAAGGTTGCTTAAACATGGTGCATGAAAGTACTTTACGAAAAGAATAAGATACTTAAGAAGATTGAGCATCAAAAGACACATTCAAATACATTGTCTGTACAAAGGTATCCAGTGTTACGTGCACAGCGATGGTGATCAGATATTGTGTTTCTCAGATCACACAGCAAAGATAAGCCAAAAGGATGAGCAACTACGAGTGTCAACTTATGTAATCCATACCTCTGAAAGGTGCTTAAAGAAGCATTTGAACATTGTGACCTGATAATGTTGCTGTAAAATATGTCTTCAAGCGTCTGCTTGAGTATATTTAGGGTACTCCAGGGAGATAAGAGTACATGTAAGAACAGGTGGAAAATGAGTGATAAGAAAGAGGTGGTGATCCACGGATTGTGACATTCCTGAAGTTGCCTCGGTATGTGTCAATAGAGAGGGCGGCTAAAAACAAATATTAAAACTCTATAAAGCTGGTCAGCCTCAAAGAGGGTCTTTGTTAAGGAGCAGTTTGAAGAAACTACTGTATATCTAGAGTTTCGAGAAACAAAAATCCCTTGTTTACATGCTTGACAGCAAAGAGAAGGAAATAAAATGGATATGGTCCAACCTAAGTGTTAATCCCCAGTTATCTCAAAAGGCACCGGCCTGATTTCATAAAGATAAAATTTTTATCTCATTTTGTCTGAGGTGTGTAAATGCCACAGGAAGTAAGTTACTTATAAACTGACCCACAGTACTGCGGGGACGGACATTTAAAAATAGAATAATGTAGATATACGGCTCCACAATGTCTCGTCCAAATCTATACATAATTACTTAACAGCAGGAAACACATACACATATATAAACACACACACATATGCAGAATGATAGGCTTGACTTCATTCAGTTAATGTTTCGTCACATTCAGTAACTCATTGCATTTTACCAGGTGTGTCCGAGGTACTACGTCACTCTGGTTACTTGGACAGTCACCCACAGAGGTGAACAGGACACAGTGAACTCTAAAAGGCTTTTATTTTGACGGTAATACCCGTAATAATAACTGGAAGGCAGTTGTCTGTGATAAGGCCCGTCCTTGAGCCACATAAGTTTCTCAAGACATATCCAGGAAACTATCATACTGTTTCTTCCGTGGCATCATAATTATTACCAAATTTGTAACCTGGATGATGAAACTTATTTTTATACCAGCCAGTGCTGTGTAGTCGCATATCATAAACCCTTAAACTCATAAGCTCATACCTCCTGCCAAGATAGCAAAGAGCAATTAATAATCAACCTTGCCCACAGGATGAAAGCAAAAAATGTAACTAGGGGCCAAGACCTGTAGAAAGCAATCAGGGTTTTTCTTGAGGTCCACCAGAAGCCCTGATCCATGACTAACAGGTAATAAGCCTTTGTTTGTGTCTTCAACCTCCTCTGTGCTTCGTCCACTTTGTCCACAGCAGGTAAAAATAGAACACCAGCCAGCAAAACAATGTTACTGTGGAAAAATAGAGCGGATGTCATGTTAAATATTGTCCCTGAAAATTAATCAACTCTTGAGTTATAAAGTCTGATAAGCTAATGAACCTCAAGGAGAAGTCATCAGTTTGTAACAAATGATCTTTTATTAAAGTGCTCTACTTGGAAATAAAAGAGCACTGACGGTGTAATTTGGTAAACCAGGAAGCTTTCAACAAACAATGCTTTCAAATTCATGAAAAAAGAAAAAAGTCAGACAGCAGACTCAGACTGTGATCGAATATTAGCCAGTTTGATGGAGACTGCAGTGTTCTAGTTCAGTACCTCTTCATATCAACAGAAAATGAAACTCTGATGCCTGAGTGTCCACTTTAATCTGGCCCCAGAACTCAAAAGCCCAAGACATCTGTGCTCAACTCTCTGTTATGTAATTCTGTAATATAAAACTTTGCGATTCTTCTATTAGTCTGATATTTTTGCAGTAAATACCATGATTGGATTTCCCTGGGGGAAATGCAACAGACAGTAAGTCATGGGAATACTGTTTATAGTAAGTTAAAGATTCAGTGAGGAGTTTTTAAAATCTATAGAACTGACTGAAATTAATATTGTTGCTTTTTATAATAGCCCCAAAATGACCATCAGTGACATGATTGATGATTTTTATATCATAAATTTGAATGCCTGAAACCTTGGTGAGGGGGAAAGGTGTCAGCCAAGCTTAAATATAAAAGCAAATGTTTACTGTCAACACCAGTACATTGTAACTTTCAAGGGCCTTTTAATAAAGGGCCCTAACTTTCCTCCCCACTGCAGCCAAGTGTGCTATTTGAGTTTTTGTAAAATTCAGGTTCTTCGTTTTAGATAAACAATTGATTCATTCTGGCATTTAAGTGATACCAGGATTTATAAGTCTAATTAAAATGTGCAGCCTCACCCTGCAAGTACAAGGGACTTTCATTTAATCAGGACCTGCATGCAGTTGAAGTCTTACAGTATTTTACAGTGCTGCCTGACAATTAATGTGCTGAATTTAGGTAAAGAAACTTATTTTAAGTCATAGTTTGACTTAAAGACTTTAGTATTATCATGAATATACCACAATGAAGCCAATAAAGAGAACTTTTGATAAAGTTCTGCTTAAGATTTTTCATGTTTTTCCTACAAAAACTCAAGCGGCAAACCTCATTTTGAGTCTTAGTTTGGTGCTAAATTTGTGCATGAGCTGTAATGAAGTAATACAAAATATAACTGGAAGCATTACTGTGTTGATTTTTAACACTTCTTCTTCCCTCCTCATCTAAAAACGCTTGCCTCCTAATCTTGGAAATCGTACCCCCACCAATACCTCCAAGGACAAGCACCCTTTCTCTCAGATTCAGCTTATACCAGGCTTGCACCTAAAGGTCACCCCTGCCAGAAAAAAAGAGAGAAAAATCAATCCACAGTGCAGCCTCTCATACGAATAGGTCAGTCAATGGCATAAGAAAATCTCAGCCTTCCTTCGAGCCTTGACTGTCCACACAGTATGTGCGCCGCTGTAGCAGCAGGTCAAGGTCATGGTTTATAGATCTCGTTGAGAAATACTTGGCAGACACACAGCTCTCCCTCATGTCAGAGCTCTAATTCTAGTACTTTTATTTAGCTTTCAATCATACCCTAACCCAAGGGCTGTCACTGTTAATGCTTTAATCGTGCTGCAGTTAAGGTCTGAAAATAACAGTATTTTTTGTCCCATCCTGATGGATAACAACACCACTGTGCTTTTGAATGGCACATTTTACTTTGAGAAACTCTGACAGCTCATTTGACAAGTCAAAAGTAATATGCACTTTGTGTCAAACTGAATCTCTGAAGTTCCCAGAGTTTGAGCTACCATTTTCTAACCGATCAAAGAGGTGCAGCTGATGTCAGTTAACCTCAAGCTCCTCTGTTTTCAGCAACACTTGAAGTTTGCGGAGCCATGGGATGTTAAATATTTCTGTGCACTGTATTGAAAAATGCCACACATTTTGTGCATGTACTCCCACACATTTCTTTATGCACAACAGTGTTATCCTTAAGAAAAAAAACATCTTTTTTAAAGTGATGTTTTTCACAGAATAAGCACTTTGAAGCTTCCTCCTATACCTCTGAGTCATGGTCTCAGATTACACTGGCGTGGCAGAGCAGCATTTGTTTGAATAACAAACTAAAGTCAAGATTATAATGTGCATTTCATACAGTAATTTAATTCCTAAATCAAGACTTGGGTAATGATTTCCTGAGGCTAAACTTTAATAGAAACTCCAAAACTGTGTTGCAGAACAATATAATGGAATTTTGAACATGCAATTAAAAATGTGTTTCATTACCAATAACTAATGAAATTCAGTGATTAATCACAATTTTTAAAATCATTTGACAGCCCTAACTAATCCTTATTCCTAAAATGTGGTTATTAGACAAGAACAGCTCCTTCTTTAGTCTCGCTGGCTTTACTAGGTTGTATAAAGATGGAAGTGGTGTTAATTTAGTAAATTTCCTTGAGGGAACCTCCCCAAAATGATCAATAAAGTTTATCCAATCTAATCTAAACTAATCGAACCTAGTCTAATGAAAATTGACATCAAATGTTCAAGAGTAACCTTTCTTTTCAATGACAAAACAAGACAATGAGAGCTAAAAAGTTCATCACCGATAATAAAAACTCTGAAAAGTATGTTCTGCATGTCAGAAATGAACCATCAGATATTAAAAGTTCAAGATATTTTTACTTACAGTGTGTCTTATCTGTCATTCAAAATGTAAGCACTGTCTTTGTAAGACTGTCTGAGTGGACAGAGGGGCACAGTGTTCATTTTGTCACTTATCTGCAGCAAGTGTACCGTGAGTGCAATCCTCTCCGCCTTGGTAAGTCTTTCTGATTTTCAGATATCAACTTTTCTGAGTGCACGTCAGTGACAAAAACAAAACCAGCAATGGAGCAATGTCAAATTTATATTTGTCATTTTTGCAGCTATTGTTTACAGCAGAGTCAAAATTTGGATTTCTCCTTGCTAGATGTTTCTAAGTAATGATCGACCCCAAATCAACAATGATGAAAATGCAGCTG